AGGAGGAGGAGGAGGGGATGAGAAGCTCTGAGGACCTGCAGGTATCGACATTGCCGGCAGCAGCAGCCCAGAAGGCAGCTCCGCATCCGAAGTTGTTGAGGCTGTGAATGTCGACGCCTTTGGTGGAGGAGAGGAGCTCCAGCACTTCGAGGTCACCCCCGTAGATGGCCTGCAAAGGAAGTGAGGAGGAGCAGGACAGGGAGAGAGAGGCAGGAGCTGCACAGACCGAGCAGAGGAGCAGGTACAGGGGCAAGTGAACAAGCAGGAGTTAGTGGAGGAGTAACAGGAGCAGCAGGACCAGGAGCAGGAGCAGGCGAAGGCGAAGGCGCAAGAGGAGCAGAGGGCAGACGGTTGGATCCATCCTTCATACCCAGTCGAAGGCCTTGGATCCATCCTTCATCTCGTGAGCTGGATCAGCCCCTGTCCTGTGCAAGCGACAAGTCATGTCAAGTTCGACGTTAAGGTAAGGTATCACTCAAGCAGCAGCCACTCAACGACTTGTCTGTGGCCGTTCTTGGCAGCCCACATGAGAGCAGTCCGCCCGTCCTTGTTCTCCTCCTCCACGTCCATCTTGCACTCTACGACGAGCCATTTCTGCCATCGCTGAGTTCAGCAGACCTCCAGCAGCGAGCCTCTTTTCAGCTCACCGCAACATGAAGAGCTCCAGAGCCGCAGGACCACCTGGAGGTGAAGGTGAGCTCAAGGCGGGGCAGGAGAGGGGAGACATGAGCGCTGTGTTGCCGTGCTTGTCAACTGCATGCACAGGATCCCAGCCGGTAGCTCGGAGCTTGAGGAGCGAGTCCAAATCGCCTTGCGAGCATGCAGAGAGTCCTCCGATTGGCTTTGGGACGCTTCCTGGCTCCCTCCGATCTCGTTCTAGGATGTGACATGCGGTAGAAGAAGAGGAGCTCTGCGAGTCTTTGCTCTGACCCCCCACTCCCCTCTTGTCGCCCTGCTCCTTGCGCAGGGAGATCGCCATTCTGGCAAGATCATCTACTGACAACATGTCTAAAGGAGAGACATGTCAGAACGCGAGAAATTGAGCAAGGAAGTAGACAGAGAAGACGAGGACGAGGACGAGGAAGGCAGAGAAGGAGGACGAGGAAGGAGATGGGGAGGATGGGGGTAAGGAGGGTATGGCAAGGACACAGGCTCATAAGGTGACAACAACGGTGACGTCATCACCAAAGTTTGGCAGCAGCTGCAGTGATATTCCCAGCCGGGCAGACTTGGCGATGACGGTCACGCCAATCAGCGAGTCTCCCCCGTACTCCATGAACGGCACGTTCGTCTCCACCTGCTCCACTCCCAGCACCTGCCCCAGCTGCTCGTGACAAGGGGTCCCACACACAAGGCGCTCACCTCCGACCAGACGGCCTTCAGTTTCTCTGCCACCTGCCGCTCCTTCTTCGGCCTGCGCTGGTGGTACCAGCTGGCATCCTTGTCAGCTGCTGGAGGATCGGGAGGCCTGTGCCGGTTCTCCATGTTGTTGCCCGAGCTCGTTTGCTCCCTCAGCTTCCTTGACTTTTTTTTCATGTCAGCCACCGACTGCAGTATGCTCTCTGGATCCATCAGACCTCCTCTCGACATCTCCCACACAAGCTCAGCTCGGGCAAGAGCTGAGCTATCGACCTCTGTACCCTCCTCTCCATGGCTGGATGTCGAAACTTCAGAAGCTGACAGTGCGTAAGTCATGCGGGAGCAGTCGAAGTGGAGGGAGAGGAGGCCGCAGACAGGAAAGGAAAACGCCTCCTCCGCCAAAGACCCTCCGCTCTCATTCATCGCCCACTCGAGGAAGTGGCCGACAAGTTTGTTGCGATCGTTCGATCGGAATTTGACTGTCACACAAGGACCTCCTGCTGCCCCTGCCCCTGCCCCTGCCCCTGCCCCTGCCCCTGCCCCTGCCCCTGCCCCTGCCCCTGCCCCTGCCCCTGCCCCTGCAAACTCGGCGGCACATGTCAACATCGCATGCTCGACCCCTCGGCCGAGAGCCCGACAGCTCATGGCGAAAATGTCGACGACCACCTGGCGATCAGCAGAGTTTGCGCCCTGGGCCTCCAGCTCATCATCAGCTGAAGGATGATCAAACCTCATGCCTCCGGCATCCTCCAGCCATCGGATCGAGAAGGAGCGGTTGTCGCGCATCATGACCACTCCGATCACCCCGTAGTCGCCAAAGTTGTCACTGAGGGAGACCTTCCTGACCTGTCCACCATGCTCCATGTACCTCAAGATGTCGCCCGAGGACACGAACTTCTTGAACGCGTTGAACTGGTTGGTCCTCTCACTCAACTGAGACAGTCTGCCAACATCCTCCTCCCCCGCGGGCTCTACCAAGATCCTGGTACCCAGTGACTTGAGGTACTCGTCCGTCGTCGCACTGGTCTGCCTCGCCTCCCCCGGCTCTTCTCCTCCTGGTACCTCCTCACTCGCTCTCGGTCCTCCTTCGTCACCGCTGACTCGAACCTCTCGTCAAGGATCCAGGCCGCTCGCATCCTCATCCCGAACTCCTCAGGGTCCTCGGGCACGTGCCAAGTCAGCACCTGGGGGAGGTCCTGGCGAACGCGCAGGCACTCGGACGGGTTGTCGTCGAGGAAGGCGAAGGAGTCAAGGCCAATGTTGAGATCAGCCGCGAGCTGACGGATGCCGGAGGTCTTGGGTTCCTCGTTGACGTACCAGGAGGCGACATGATTCCATTTCAAAGCCATCTCTTCCTCCCTCACGCTGAAGACCCTCCGGACGTCCTCGAACTTGTTCCTGGAGCACAAGCACACCAGCGTTCCTCTCTCTGCGAGACCAGCCAGCTTCCTTTGCAGCATCAAGAACCTCTCGGCAAGCGCCACCTGCTCTGCTCCTACCTCTCCCACCGCGTTCCCCCATAGGGTGTCGTCACAATCCACCGCGATCGCCTTGACTGGAGGGAGGAGGAGGCGATGCACGCGCCTGGCGAGGCAAGCAGACATGGTCGCAAGCATCTCCTCGGAGAAGGGAACCTGTCCCACTTTTCTTGCCACCTCGTCGAAGGCTTCACGATCTCCCATGAATTCTCGGAGCTCAGCAGGCAGGACACACTCGAAGCCGCTAGAGTTGGCCGACCGCTGGAGCTTCTCGAGGAAGGAGAGGAAGAGTTGCTGGACCCGAGGATCTTCTTCCTGCCAGGGCCCCACTATCACTACCAGCCCTCGTGCCGGCAGATGTCGCCATGCTCCCGAGGATATCGCCTCGAGGAAAAGGTTCAACTTCCCTTCTAACGCCAGCGGGTCGGAATGCGAGAGCCAGTCGGGGAGATGCAGGAGCGCCACGTTGAGGGTGCCATGAGCAAAGGCATCGGGCACGAAAAGCTCCCTTATCACGAGATCATATCCTGCTTCTTGTAAGCCCCCACACAGTCCCATCCTCTTCAACCAGAACGTGATCGAGTCCTTCAGGACACTGGAGATGGTGAAAGAGGCAGCAACCCCTAGCTCGATCTTGTTCATCTTCCCTCTTCTCTGCCTCTACCGCTCTCCCCCTCCTCTCTCCCTCCTCCTCCTACCTGTATGCCTGCTCCCTACCTCGGCTCCATTCCACGCACATTCGGCCCCCACCCCTCATCCCCACTCGTGCCACTGCGATCCGATGAAGAAGAGGGAAGATGAACAAGATCGAGCTAGGGGTTGCTGCCTCTTTCACCATCTCCAGTGTCCTGAAGGACTCGATCACGTTCTGGTTGAAGAGGATGGGACTGTGTGGGGGCTTACAAGAAGCAGGATATGATCTCGTGATAAGGGAGCTTTTCGTGCCCGATGCCTTTGCTCATGGCACCCTCAACGTGGCGCTCCTGCATCTCCCCGACTGGCTCTCGCATTCCGACCCGCTAGCGTTAGAAGGGAAGTTGAACCTTTTCCTCGCGCAGATGCGGACGCAGATGCCGCAGTGCGGACGATGCGGCGGATCCAGATGCGGATCCAGATGCGGATCCAGTGATGCGGATCCCTCAGATGATCCCTCAGATCTGACACGGTCAGTACACGGTCAGTGCTAGACCGGCAGTGCCAGACACCTTCATCCCGGGCCCTGGGCTGGATTCCAGTAGAGTCCTGCCAGGAGAGTCTTGCGGAGCAGAACAGCGTGTGCGCGGATCCTCGGAGTCCCGGCTGCTCGGAGTCCTGCTCGGAGAGAGTCTGCCCTGGAGTCTGCCGGGATCATCGCAGGGATCATCTCAGAGGGCAGTGACCGCACCGTGTACTGGAAACTTGAGGTTGAGGGTGATGATTCGGTCAATGAGGGCGATGACATGCTCAAGGTCCTGAGTATGTGCCAGGGAAGTATGCAGCTGCTGCAGGCGTCTTTTCCATGCGCTTTGTGCTGGTAACATGGATGAGCATCAAAGAACAGGGGAATGTGGTCAGGCAGCATGCGAACAAATACCATCTGCCGCCACGCAAGCCGCTCAAGCCGCAGAGGCCTTTGGAGCGTCAGAGCTTCAGGCAGTACCCCAGGCTCAAAATGCTGCCCTTTCACGTCGAGAACTGCCAAGATTGGAGGATTCAGAACAATTAAGACGCGATTTGGAAGATATTTTGAACAACAATCTAGCTGACAGTACACGGAAAATGTATCACGGGCATATGACTCATTTCATTGAGTTTTTGTATGCAAGAGACGATGACTTCGGTCTGATCACGGCTGCGCTGAAAGAGGACATTGAAGCTGAAGAAGGCCGCAAAACGGCTGATAACCTTCCCTCGTTGCCATACTTACATCAGATACTGACACAGAGGAATCCAATTCCTATCGACATGGTCAAATTCACTGGAGAACATTTCATGTTTTGGATAACTCATCTTTTGAGGCAGAAGCCGGACCTTGCCTTTGCAACGTGTGGTACCTATCGATCTGCTTTGATGTATCTTCTTCATCTGTACCGGGTACCAGAACTCAAATTTACCGAGGTTCAGAGTGAGTTGAGTAGAAGTTTTGTGGAGCTCAAGGAAAAGTGCAACCGAAAACCAGCGAGGAACCGCAGTGTAGAAGTCACGATGGGGAAAGATCCTCTTCCTTTTGCCGTGTATCAAGTGTTAGGAACAGTAATGCTTGCCAAAGCTGAACGGGAATTCATTTGGGGAAGAACGTTTATGGTGCTGAGCTGGAATCTGATGTCTCGATCAAGCAATACTGCTGCGCTGATGTATAATCATCTTGATTTTGCAAACGATGCTTTTCAATTCTATATCAACCATCAGAACAACGATCAAGCAGGGGAACGTGCTAGGTGATACACTGAATATTCCAGCAATTGTGTTGCTTACTACCGTACTTGCCGATTCCAGGGATCCCAAACACGTTTATGCCAACACGTGCAATCCAGCCATCTGCCCCATTTTAGCACTAGGTGGGCGATGATCTAAGTTTCAATGTCTAACCTGAATAATTCTTTGCCCCAAGGAATTTACTGGCTGATGTTTCCTCCCAACCATCCCACGTCAGGAGGACGTTTATTCCCTGGCTCGAATCAGTACGAGCGGTTTAAAAAACTGTTCAGTCAACGGCTGTTGCGTGATTCTGAAGTCCTGGAGGCGTTGGAAAACAATGCGCTACACGTAGGAGACTTGGGTATAATTCTGCATTCCAACTGTATCCCTGTCCAGTAATGCACATTTGACAGGAACACATAGTATCAGGAAGGGATCAGCAACGTATACTGCGTCTGGAACCACTTTTGGACCCAGCATCACTGCAATTTGCCAGAGAGCAGGGTGGAAGATGGGTATCATTCAGGACACGCACTTGAGGTATGAAAGGGCTGGAGATCAGCAAGTAAGTTTTCAACGGCATTGTCTAAGGCTGACGATACGGTGACTGTCTCCGTTGCCAGGTTGGAAGAACCTGTTGTGGATTACCCACGGACAGGCCTGAATTCGCGGCTCTGCCACCGATGTTCTGGTGTGAAAATCGTGAAGGCAGGGAGGCAATCAACGAGGTCATGGACCAAGTATATCCACATGTTCGGGAAAACGCAAGACTGAGGACGCTTGTCGAACAATCTCTAGCATCTGTGGTTTATCACGAAACGTTTCTTCGGAAAGTCATGCCACGGAATCACCCCCTGTTTCGGACAGAATTATTCATACACCAAGGATACTTGGATACATTGAAGAAATGGGTAACAACTGAAGCGCACGGGAGAGTACCAACTGGAATCACTCCGCATACATCCATTATGCAGGACTTGGCAGAATTGAAAGGCCAAGTTATGGAAATGAAGAATTTGATGATGACAATGGCAGGAGGACGCGGTGCCACGGATGGTATTCATCCGTCCGCAGGTCAGTGGGGAGGGCCGCCAGGGGCCGTGGCGTCTGAGATGACAGTGACAGCAACAGGCAACAACAGCCGTGATAGTAGGGTGAATGCAGTGACGGTCAGTGGAGACTTTGTTCAGAATGTTCTAGATTCGCAAAGTCGGATGTTGCATTCGCAAAGTCGTTTACTTGAAGCTCAGAATAGATTCAATGAGAAGATGGATACACTTCTGATCAGAACGGAGCAAGGGCGTGTGAGCAATACAGGGATACGGCAGATTCCAGATGAAGCGGGAACCGGGATGCCGTTGCCAAGGAGCATACATGGAGGAAGTGCAATGGACTCAAGATCAGCACACATTAGCCCGGCAAGTGGAAGCTTGGCCGCCATGCCAAGCGGGAGTGGGGGAGGCACTGGAAGCCAAGTGGACGCGTGCAAGTTTGAGTGGGGTGGCAACACAACAAGAAGCATGTACATGATTTATCATTTCGGACACGCAGAGACGAAGCTACCTCCATTCAAGTCCTTGAGAGGTAAAGACTTCCCTACGAAATCTGATGGCAAGAGACATTCAGACCTGAAATTTATGGTGAGAATGATTGATGCCGAAGCCAGCGCTCTGGGTATCTACAAGGCCAACCCCAATCGCAGAGAGGCTGATTTCATATTCGACCATTGCGAAAATTACTTGTTTGAGCAATATCAGAGGGTGACAGGTGCCATTCCGGCACAAGAGGACGTGTCGAACTTCAGTCTCTTATGTTGGTTGACAGTGGTAGCCGTGCTCAGACCAAAGGAGAGAATACGAAAGAGGCGCAGGGTAGATAGAAGCTGTAATGAGAGGTGATGGAGAACATAGGAACTAACTTGCAGTATCGCGATTGTAAACCTTCGTGCGATACCAGATAACGTGAATAAAAAATTGCAGAGTGAGATACGTATCATCACCTCCACATCCTCATCACCATCATCATTACCTCCATATCCTCGTAATCATCTTCATTACCTCCATATCCTCGTAATCATCTTCATCACCTCCATATCCTCGTAATCATCATCATTACCTCCATATCCTCGTAATCATCATCATTACCTCCATATCCTCGTAATCATCATCATTACCTCCACATCCTCGTAATCATCTTCATTACCTCCACATCCTCGTAATCATCATCATTACCTCCACATCCTCGTAATCATCATCATTACCTCCACATCCTCGTAATCATCATCATTACCTCCACATCCATCACCACACCACTACCTCCTCCTCACGTCCTCCTCATCATCATCTTCATCTCCTCCACATCCATCTCCTCCTTCACCACCTCATCCTTCTCTTCCTCCTCCTCCTGCTCATCATCATCATCATCATCATCCGATCATCACCTCCACATCCACCACCTCATCATCATCACAATCTCATGCACATGCCTTATCGTTACCTTGTCTAGAACCAATACATACATATATTCAATACTGGTTCAAAGGAATGATATAAGAACATCATATAGCAACAATCAGTGATTACATGCATGGAAAAGGCGCAGAAGCCGATACGAAGTGCTCATAAACGCCGCCATTTGCGGCCACACACGCAGGGAACAAGGATCAGGACAAAGAGCAGTAGCGCAAGGCTCCTGCGAGGAGGACGGCTAGACCCATGCGAGAGCGATACTGACGAAACAGGCGAGCACGCAAACGATGAAAGCCAGGGTCGGTTAACCTTATTCGCTACGTGCAACTGTTTCTCGCTAAACTCGAGAATCGCATGCCCGTCGGACTCTCTCGCACCCAGCAATGTCTACGTGAAGACAACACAGTCGCCGACATGGAATGTTTCCAATGCCTTGGATTTGATGTCTCGTTCATGGTTTTTGAATAAACCACTTGCAACCCCGCTCTATTTAAACTGCGCTGCCCCCACCCATGCCATCTCCTAGAGCATCATGCCCAGCACCCAAAGACACCCGAAGCGACAGGGCAAGCAGGTCAAGCCTGCCAAACCCACCGCATCCCCATCCGGTGTGCGTTCCGAGGAGATTCCCGACATGGATCACGAAATGCTGGTAAGCATGGCCCTTGAAGACATTGAGATGTGCTTTCTCGCCGCGGCGGTCTTCCACTGCGACGAGCTCATCGAGACCAACACCGTGTGCCTCATACGTGAGACCATCAAGAAAGGTAAAACTGAGGTGGAACGCCTCCGAAAGAAACACAGGGATGATAAGAACAGAAAGATGGCCGCTAAACATCAGATGACCCTCCAGCGGGATATACTCTCCAACCTCGTTGATAACATGATGCAGTCCAAAGCAAAGTATCGATTCTACACCCATATGTTGCAATTCATGAAGGACGTGAGCAAGAGGCCCTCCTCATTGGGCATGTGAAGATGCGTAACCAGGTTGGTTGATTAGGTATCCCATCAGTGAATAAACTACAAAAGGATAAAAACCTTTTTTGGTCTGAGTGGGGATGAGGGCCAGGGTCCCTGGAGGCCCTGGGGAGAGGGCGGGGTGTCTGGGAAATCCTTGGTTGCATCTGTTTTTTTTATGTATTGAATCGATTCAATACATACTATACATACATACTATGTATACTACATACATACATACATACATACATACACTATGTATACTCTATACATACTATGCTCTATACTATACTGTCCGGCGAAACTCATTTAATTCTTTCCGTTATCTTTAAAGAAAATCTGTAACCGTAGAAAAAAAAACTTCTCCTTCCAAAGATCTGTCGGCTCCCCCCCCCTCCCTCTCCCAGGGGACCGGGAGGAGGGAGCCACATCCCCGCTCTGACCATACGGAAGAAAGAGTGTGTGGGTACCCTGTAGTAGGAAGGAGGGGTGGTCTAGGCCCCATGTGAGGGTGGTCTAATCCCCATGGCCCAGGGTGGGAAGAGGGGTCCTCCCGATCCCTTGGATGTGTGGTACAGTAACATGTTCCCCGATCCCATCGTCTGCTGGTCTTGCTCTCACTTCCTCGACGAGAAGTGCCATCGGGATGTGGAGCGCGGTGTGGTTTGCCCGGATTGCACCCACACGGTGTCGGACGACCCTCACCGGAAGAGGAACAAGTGCAACGGCTACGCGTTCCCCGGGAGGCCTCCACCGAGGAGGGGAGGGGACGGATGGATGAACGACCGGCAGGACCGCACGCCTCTGATGAACTACTACAGTCTCTCGGACGGCATCGTGATGTACGTCCACGTGAGTGGCTTCGGGGAGCAGAGGGAGAAGATCCGTGTGATGACCAACGTGAAGTGCCATGTCTGTGGGTGTGTGCACGACGCGTGATGGAATAAAAAGTGTGTTTTGTGTTTCATTTGCTCATGCCTGAGAGGGTAGAAAAGACAGCATGGCCTCTCCCGTCCCAGTAGCGGACATGATCCGTCCAAAGAGGAGGTGTGTGGATGCCGCCAGGGAGCGCGTCCAGTCCATCCTCGAGTGGGAGGAGGCGAGGGAGGATTCCAGGATCTTCCAGGCGGTGGCCACGGAGGTGAACCGGGAGTTCGACCGGGAGGACATGCTGAGGAGGACGGGGAGGCTCACCGTGGCGGATGACGAGGAGGCCCTCCTGGATGCGGAGGAGGGGGAGGCCTGCGAGTCCGAGGATGAGGAGGAGGAAGGCCCTCCCAGCGAGGCCAGCTACGACTCGGATTATTACCCCGGCAAGAGAGGCGGCGGCTTCCTCCGTTATGACGAAGTCGACGACGCCCTCTCTTCCTCCTCCATGGATGAGAGCCTCTCCGATGAGGTGGATGAAGAGGAGGAGGAGGAGGAGGAGGAGGAGGAGGAGGAGGAGGAGGACACGGATACCGAGGACGTGGTGACGGTCGGATCTCCTCAGACCCTGAGCGGGCAGAACACCAGCGGCCTGGGCTCGGCGGGAGGTGGGAGTGCGGCCTCCGCGGAGTCCATGGGGTCCGGGGTGGATTCCCTCGCGTCCTCAAAGCCCGAAATGGAGCAGTTGGTTGAGCAGTTGCCATCGGAGGCGACGGCACAGCCCCCCGCCGAGAACCTGGGCCAGTCTCCGGATGCCGCGTCTTGAGCCTTGACGGGATCCAGCACTTTCGCCACCTCCTTGAGCTTGGGCACCACGTAGCGGTAAGTCGGGCGTGGTTTCTTCTCCGGTCTCGCTGGGAAGATGAGGTGGGCGATCGTCTGGTAGCAGACGGCCAGGGAGATGGACCCCATGGCCGTCAGGAGCACTGGGCCAAGGAAGGATATGAAGGGCATCATGGTGGCTTTGCAGGGTCTTCGTTGAGGGTCGATTTTATAAGTGTGGTTGCACCGAATGAGGATCCGAGGCCCTCCCAGGGAGTGGATGCCCGCCTCCCCTCTCTGACCTGATTCGCCGGATGGATCCCGGCGATCGTCATTTAAAAGTAAAAAAAAGTAAAAAAGAAATGTTTAGTTTATTTCTTTTTAGTTGGGGCAGTGATTTGTAACTAGTGAGACTATGTGCTGTCCTCTGTGTACCTCGGTGCCTTGGGGTTCAGCTTGCTGTAGGCGTGCATGGCGGTGAAGTCGAAGTAGACGAGCAGGTTGTTGATGACGAGCATGAAGTAGACGACGTACTCGAGTATGACCACCGCGGACATGCAGACGGAGGCGAACCCTCCCCTGTTGAGGAGGTAGAGGAAGCAGTAGAGCAGCCCCATGATGGTCGTCATGGAGATGATCGACATGGTGACGAGGGACAGCGTGGGGGCTACCGTGTGTGGGTTTGAGTGGCCGTCCTTGCTGGCCCTTGTGAAGGCCTCCGTGGCGATGAGGAACTGCGCTATGAGGACGGGCAGGATCATGATCACCGCCCCGAGGAGATGGAGGTCCTCCCTGTCCGACCCCTGGTTGTAGAGGACCACGCAGAAGACGCCGATGTAGCTGATGGAGGCGAGCACCTTGCTCACGTCGCGGTTCACCAGCGGCGTCTTCTGGCAGCTGACGATGCCGAGTATGAACCACTGCATGATCCATATGACGACGAGGTAGGAGGCGATGCCGGGCATGTCGGCGAGGTTGTTGCTTATGAACCTCAGGCTGTCGCAGAAGGGTAGGTTGTCGTTGGAGAAACCCGGGCCCGAGAGCATGAGGATGAAGAAGAATCCGACCTGCTGGAAGAAGTTGACCACCGCCAGCAGTGTCCACACCATCAGCTCGTTCCACTTCACCATCGACCACTCCTCGTCCTCGACCTCTCCCATCTATGGTGGAATGTTCTACCGGAGGTTTATATCCGGAGATCCTGCACGAGAGAGGGAGAGAGTGGGGGAGATGCGGACCCCCGCAGGATTTTTTTTTGGGGGGAAAGTGCTTATAAGGAAGCGGGGGCGCGGGAGAGGCCCCACCCGTTGCCCATGCCACGCAAGAGCAATACCGAGATCCGTGAGAACTCTGACAGCATTCCCGTTGGGGAGGATGCGGACGTTCCTATGTATGGAAGTCCAGAGCCCGATGCGGGCGTCTGTAAGCAATCCCCGACGGTGATCAACACAGAGCTCCTCCCTAGGGAGGTCCTGTTGAACCCGAACAACCTCTGGCTGGAGAGGTATCCGCTCCCGGCGCTGGACCAGCGCACGCTGAACCTCTCCACCGTGGTCGCCATCACCGTGGATACCGTGTACTGCACCCAGAAGAGCTTCATGACCGAGAAGGCCGATCGCGAGATGCGGTACGGCAAGGAGATCAAGGCCATCCCGAGCGGTTTTGCGGTGATCGCCCCTCTCAGCGCCGGCTGGGCCAAGGCCCCGCTGGAGGATCGCCCCGGGAAGGACGCGAGGTTCATCGCGGACATGAGTGTCTGTGCGGAGACGGGGGCCCGGGAGCTGCTCATCCGCTCCTTTGAGAAGCACGAGAGCAACCCGCAGTACAAGGGCCCCGTGAGGGACGACCTGGCGACTCTGATCCGGCAGGGGGCGACGCTGAGGATGTCGACGACGATGAAGACCTTCGAGTTCGAGAAGAAGAATGCCAAGCAGCAGGGCTACAAGCCCCTCTTCCCGGCGAACATGGAGATGATCACTCCCTTCACTCTGGTGGAGCTGACGCTGAAGCCCAACCACGCGGGGAGGAATGAGGGAGGTGACCTGGTGCAGATCAAGCAGATCCGCGTCTTGCCGTTGACGTTGCACTCCTTCGTCGATGCGATGGAGAAGTTCCCCAACACCTTCGACGCGCAGAAGGTGGTGACGGATCACTGCAAGACTTTTGCCCCCGAGGGTAGCGCCCCCTGCTCGGTGTGGTTCTTCGGTGCCGGCGGCGAGTGTGCGTTTCTGGACAACGTCTCCCCGCTGATGCAGGCGGTGAGGCCGGACGTGTCCCGCGAGCACTGCATGGTTCAGCTGGTGAACGTGTGTGTGGAGACGGCCTCGAGCCCCATCACCCTGGATACGGTGGATGTGTCCGAGAGCCTGTTGCTGAGGTATACCAACTGCAAGGACGTGGAGTGCGCGTGCCGGTTCCTGGAGCTCGCGGCCTGCTGCCAGGCGGTGAGGTTGTTCGTCGTGAGGAACAACGGGAACATGAGGGGGGATGACAACGGGGTGATCGAGGGCCTCTCGAAGTACCGTGGCATCCCCGTTATCGACTTCTACAAGATGCTGCAGATCGACCCGTCCCGTGGGATGGAGGATCCGGTGCTGGCTTTCATGTCCCGTGTGGGGAGGATGGAAGGCACTGCCCCCGTGTCCCAGGACCTTCCGGGTGACGCGAGGGTAAGTTACGATCCCTGCACCTTCATGCTGAGCATCAACACGAATCACTTCTACGTGTTCGAGGCGGACGGCGTGGAGATGAAGCGGATGATCGTCATCCGTGTGGATCTCCGCGTGAGAGACAAGAAGGATGCCGAGGATCATGAGGAGGGGGTGTCTGTGGATTTCCAGCCTTACCACCGTGCGTTCAGGCTCAGGAAGTGCTGCCGTGTCCATATCGACCTCGGACCGAAGCTCGATTCGGAGGGCCGTTTCATCTCCAACGTCGAGGAGAAGGACTACCTCTGCATGCTGCTCAATATCGCCTCTGCCAGGCCCCGCGCCTTCGGTGGGAGTGCGGTGGATGCCCCGAGGGAGCTGAAGAAGCGCGCCGCCCCTTCCGGGTGTGACGGGTTCGATAGCGACTAGGAATCGGCAGGCAGTCTGAGTGTGATAGAGTGTTTATTTACCTTAGAAATAAACCTTTCTTAATTTATCACCAGTATGGTAGATCGTTAGGGACCTGTGTTCGGTGTCCCTGCGGGCGCGGTGGGCTGGCCGCACGCCTAGTTTGGGGTTTGTCCGTGTCCATGGCCGTGGCGCTGGCCTGCTGCTTCTCTTTGGCCTTCTCCTCTTTCCTTGCCTTGGAGTGGATCTCGCGGGGGATGCTTCTTCCCTTGTCGAAATGCTCCTGGATTTGCTTGAGCCTGTTGTGAAGTGCTTCGTATACAACCTTCCGTCCTTGGGTTTCTTCGTCCTGCTGCATGGTGTTTCCGTTACCGTCCTTGTCGGGTGCATGGTGGTATATCTTTATCTTGCGTTTGACGATGTTATCCAGGGTATATCTCACGTTCTCCGGGTTCTCGACGAGATGCAGGTCTTGCATGATCTTGAAATTCTGGTCTAACCTTTTCTGTAGAGCTTTGTTGGTTTCAATGAAGTCATCAAGCAGCTTTTGATCGTGCGGACTGGACTTGCCCGCCTTTTTCGAACTGATGATATTGTTGATCTCAAGCTGGTTGTTGCTCATCGTGCGGAAGGCCTCGAAGATGCGCTCGTACATGGAGCTCGAAGAGGAGTGCGAGTTGTGGTACCATGCGTTGCCTGGGAACCCGAGCTGGTGGATGATGCTGTGGTCCTCATCACTTTCGTTGTATAGAAACCACACTTCCTTTCCTTGGTCTGAGATGTCGATGATCTCCCATTCGCCAGGGATGGCCCGGTATACAGTCTTCGTAACTTTCACTACATTCCCGTTTGTGTCATGGACATCCGTTTCGTGTATTTCCGGAGTTAATTTGTGCTTGATGATGAACTGACCGCTCTTGTCTTTCTTTTCTCTGACGGCTTTCTTGAATCTGGTCATGGTCTCTCCATGGGTGTCATTCCCCATCACTGCATCCCCGTCCCTGCCCTCGACGATCTCGTAATCAGCTGTCATTGCTCTCTCCGCAAAGAAGTGTTCGTACACATTGGTTTGGATGACTTTCATGCCTACGTTCACATACCACATGTCGGGCTTCACGAGTCTTTAATCAGGTGTAGGGTAAGCATCTTAAATACACTCGTTGCGACGATTCGGCGGTCATCAGCGGGAGGTTTTCTTGCCCTTGGCCTTGGTGTTCTGGTTACTGCCCGTCTTTTTCTTTCGGTTGTGGCCCTTTCTTGCCTGGGCCAGAAATTCGGCCATGGTTTTGAGTCTGGTCTTCTCGGCGATGGGTCGTGTGCCTTTCATATTTCTCGCTTCCTCGCATCTAACGATGTGCAGCTCTATCCTCTTGATGGCATCTTCCAGTGACTTCTTGCGCTTGGGGTCGGTTGTTTCTTGCATGTATGTCCTCTTCATGTTGATCGTGGCTCTGAGGGCTGCTATGCGCTTCTCTGTCATCTGGTACCTGTGTATGATCTTGGCCTTGAGTGTTTTTAACTGTTGTTTATGTTCTCTTATTCTTTGGATGCGGTCTTGCGCCGTCAGCTGCTTTTTCATCTTCGCACCTAGGAAGTTGTTGAAGATCTCCTGTGCACCGCTGTGGAAGGCCAGGGAGGGGTCGAAGCCGGCGAACATGAATTCGCTTGGGTCGATATCGGGCTCTTCATCCCTCAACATCTTCATGAGCACCGCGTGGGCCACCATCATGTTGTAGGTGCTGATGGAGTCGTGCTTGAGCATACCCTCGTCGCTGGTGGTCTGCTTGGTGGAGTGCTGGTACCAGACGGCGTGTTCTGTCATGAGCATCATCCTGCCGACGATGGTCTCCTGACTGCTTGGGTTCCTGAAGTCAAACAGTGGCCGCGATGTGTCGTCGGATAGAACGTTGGAGTCTGGTTCTTCGTTTGACGCCGTGTATATTGCGTTGTTCATCTTCTTGATCAATTCTCTGCTGGGTCTCGTAGGTGTCTTGTATTCCTGTTTTTGGCGTCTTCGAGCTTCATTCCCGCCAGGTGTTCGCTCAAGTCCTTGACTTCCTTTTTCTTCATATCATCCACCGTCTTCTGGATCTCCTTGAATCGATTTTTCAATTCCTCTACGTATTTGGGGTTGCCCTCCTTGATGAACGACTTGCCCGCTTCTTTGATGAACCACATGTGCTCTGTTTCCTTGGTTTATCTTGATGGGACCGCGCTGCAGGGTGTCTTAAATACACGGTGTGTTGGATTGCTTCGTTTTTTTGACTCGATCGCTGCCGGGGGCGGGGGTGTGGAAGGCGGTTTCGGCATGGCGCCATGAAGGAGGTCGACCTTGTGAGGAACCGGCTGGTGGTGGCGGGGAAGGGGTGGGAGTACGAGCGGAGCCCGTGCTGCAAGGACATGATCCACCACCTGGTGAGGAGGGAGTGCTACTGCAGCTGGTTCCAGCCGGTGGACGGCGGTGTGAAGGACCAGTTCCCGGCGATCCGGATCGGGGACCTGTACTACACGCTGAGCCTGAGGATCCAGAAGGCGATGTTCCGGCACGTGAGGCTGACGAAGGACTTCAAGAACCTCGAGCGCCTCCCCGATGGGCAGGTGAAGCTGAGGATCCCCACTCAGCTGCTGGTGGAGAAGAAGCGGACCGCTACGAGGTTTACGGTGAGGCGGGGGCTGGGTGTATTTACATGTGACGGTTTCGTGGCGGTTATAGGTGATGCGGTCCAAGGCGATGGCGACCAAGCCCTCGGCCAAGCGTCTGAGGTTCGACCGCAGGGGGGAGGGGTCGGACGTGATGGACCTGTCGGACATCATCAACGGCATCCTCGGTCCCGCGAGCGAGGATGCGAGGCCGAGCTTCACGGTGTTCTCCCTGAGCGAGGAGGAGACGGCGGAGCACATCATGCAGAACCTCTTCAAGGAGTGCCCCAGCCTGACGGAGGACAAGATGAAGTTCATGAGGAGCATGGGTTTGATGTACGAGAAGATTCATAGCGGCTCTGTTTGATTATGTATATTATACACGTGGTGATCTAGCTATAGCGCTGCAGCAACTGCGAGCTGAGGCGGTTGGGGTCGTTGATGATGCCTCCGACGCTGACCCTGTGCGCTGCCGCTGGGGGGTGGTGTCCGGCGGACCTCTTCTTCCCCTTGCTCAGCCTTGCGTGGAGCTCCTTGGCCTTGGACTTGATCGCCTCCATCAGGTCTCCGTCGATCATGTCCACGGCGTGGGGGTTGGCGAAGAGGAAGTGGATCGCCTCGTGGTCGTCGTCGAGGTCCCAGTCGCTCTCGAGTTGTGGCTGCATGGGCACGGGCTCGGGCTGGGCGGGGGCTTGCATGTAGGGCGCCCCGTAGTAGTAGTAGTAGGGCTGGGGCTGGGGCTGGGGTGGGTAATACGCTTGCATGCCTTGCTCCTCTGCCCCGCGGGCCGACGGCGGTGCTTATATCCTTGTTACAGGCCTTGGGATTTGGTGCCTCGGGTTCTGGTTGAAGATGGTGAGAAAGGGTGAGGAGATGCCCTCCACGGCCCCGGGTGGGGGTGGCGGGTAGGCGTAGGGGGCGTGGTGGGCTGGTATGAGGAGGACGCCCCCGTCGGGTACGATGAACTCTGGAGGAGGCCCACGCTGCTGTGGGATGTGGTTGGGGTCTTGCATCTCTTGTGGCTGCTGCGGCATGTACGCCTCCGGATCTGGGCGCGGGCCGTATGTCTCCTGGTTGGGTGGCGGCGGTAGGTACCCCGGCGGTGGGGGTGCCGGGCCGTACTCCTGTGGGACCTCGGGTGGGGGCCCGGGAGGAGGGGGGGCGATCATCTGCTCCGGGGGAGGCATGGGATGCACTGGCTGGGAGGGGCCGGCCTGGGCGGGTGCGGGTTGCCTGCCCCATGCCCGCCTTGCCCGATTCGCGGCGGCTCGTCCCTTCTCGTACGCCGCCTTCCCGGCTTCCGTCGCCCTCTTCTTGACGTCTTTCCAGAATTTCCACGCCTTGCTCTCGTTGAGCCTGATCCTGCTCTCCATCCTGTCGCTGATGGCCCCGAGCTCGTGCCACTCGAGGTCGGTGATGAGGTGTGGGTTCTGCATCATGAACATCTGGAAGTCTAGGATGTCGTAGGCCTTCTGCAGAGACATGGGGGCGATCGTGTTATCCCTGAGCAGCGGGTCCTGGTTGAGCTGCAGGGGAGGGTGTGAGCACATGTAGGGGCGGGGGTATGGATAGACGAGGTTGTCCTCTGTCATGCTCTGGGAGGGGGGGCGTGGGGTCTATTCTTAAATGCCATTCATTCCCGTTAAAGATACCGATCAGGTCACTACCGACTTGTTCCAGAACTCGGTGTAGCTCACGGTGATGAAGACGGTGAAGCTGAGGAGGTTGAGCATGAGCTGCTTGATGGCGGTGACGTTGTGGAGCTTCAGCTGCTGCATGTCATTCCAGATGTCCGGGGCCATGTAGATCAGGAAGAGGAATCCCATAAAGTAGATCCAGTTGTACATGGCGAGGTAGTTGTAGTGGTTGACGTCGCTGCTGGGGGTGGCCGTGAACACCAGTGCAAGCAGGATGAAGATCTGGGTAACCGTGATGATGTTTTTGTAGCCCTGGTAGAAGCTGTTGAGGGTCTCCCCGATGGTATTTAGCTTTTCTTGCCTCGTGCTGTCGGTCGTGGAGACGGTTTTCGCGTATGCTTTCGTGAAACTGGCCACCCTGGTCCAGTGGCAGGTCACCCAGTTGCTTGCCGTGGCGAAGATGAGGAGGAGGAAGACCAGGATGACGTTGAACATGATGATATCGAAGTCCGTCCATTGCCTCATGATGCATACGGCGACGGTAAGGGCCACCACCGCCGGGATGGAGATGACGTCCGTCCAGAGCTGCTCGATCTGCCCCTGGGCGTTGAGGATGTCGGAGTTCTTGTAGGTGATCTCATGTTCTTCTCGGATGAACTTGATACCGGCATCCACCTCATTCCTGGCGAACCTCTCCACGATGCGTGCGATATTATCGGAGGACCCGCCGTATAAGACGTATGGGGTCACGAAGAGGAGGATGATGGCGCTGCCGATGGCGATGAATATGCCGGCGAGCAGGTCCGCCGGATGCTTTGCGTCGTCGGGCGCTCCCTTGCTCGTGGTCAGCAGTAGGATTGTCATAACGAGAAATATGATAGTGCACATCAATGTCACGAGGATGAGCTTGACGTTGAGGTAGCTTGCAACCTTCTTGATCGTATCGGCGCCAAAGACGACGGTCAAGCTCCCTTGCGGCGCCTGTTCTCTTCTGTCCTTGAGTGCCAGGACGAGGACGTCGTGCATGAAGTTCGCGATGATGATCGAGGAGGAGGCGAGGAGGAGGAAGCCGTAGATGAAGAACATGGTGCGGTACGGCTTGCTGCTGACCTTCATGGTCTGCGGCATGCTCCCCTCGTAGGTGCAGAAGTTGAGCATCTCCTTGACCTCTCCTTTGGTTGGGTTGGTGGCTGATTCGTAGAGCCATCCATCCCCCATGGCGTGGGCGACCTGCGCGATGCAGTTGCAGCCGCCGGGCATGTAGACCGGGTTCGAGGCCGAGACCACCTCCAGCGCCATCTTGTCGGTGCTCTTGGGCACCCTGCCGGTGGTGATGTACTGATCACACAGCGACCAGTACCAGAGGGCCTTGACGTTGTCTTTGATGGTGGAGGATGTGTTGGTGAAGGCCTTCAGTGTGTTCTCCAGCGAACTGTACTCGTCCCAGGGCTCCAGTGAGTAGGAGATGATATTGGAGGGCATCTTGCTGTTCTTGTAGGACCTGCCAAGGGTGACACAGCAAGCGCCGAAGCTGAGCCAGAAGATTATGAGGGCGATGACGGAGTTGATGATCTTTGAGCGGTTGGTGTATGTGAGGAGGGAATAGCCGGTGATGTAATTCCGCGCGCTGTCGTGTGACTGGTCCTTGTAAGGTTTGTCCAGCGTGTGGGTGGGCTGCTGCATGCCTGCATAGAATTGTTTCTTGTTGACAACTACCATGCTATCCTTTGCGTGGCGCGGCCTACATCGTCTTTAATACGATACGTAAGGAATGTTTTGGGGTTGACCGGTTTAGGCGTTGGAATCGCGGCTCCTGGCGGTGCGGGTGACGCCCCATCCCGCGGCCCCCAAGTTGATCCTCCTCTATTCTCGCTGTAAATTTTCTGAACTCTACCCGTACATGTAGCGTAACGTGACCTCCACATCACTGTCACGGTCACGGCATATTGAAAGGCAGACCTTCAAGGGCAGGGGTTATGAATCGTGGCCTTCGTGGGGTAGTCTGCTCGAGGGGGGTAGTATCGGAGCAAGGTAGCATCCTGTTTTTTAAAAGTGATCTAAAAGTATTATAGCAAAATTCTTATTTTAGCTCGATTTCCCCTGAAAAAATATTGACCGACATGATTGATGTGATATATGCACAGGAAGTCGCAAACTTCGTCCTCGTCGCAACCTCTCGCTCCCACAGTGGCTCGAGCCTTCGACTACTGTTTGTTGTTTCCTGCGTCTCTTGTCCCCTGCAGCCCTGCTTGATCGCTTTGAAAGGAACTTGCGCACATTCAAGTCTGCCTCATTTCCATGCCTCTGTCAAAGCCCTGACCATGGAACTTGCTTTGTCTACAATTCGAGAATTGAACATGCTCTATGAATCAGTACGTGGACCGGGACATGACGAGCTGCAGTATACGCCGACCGTCGTACTCGCCTACAAGCCCGTCGTACATACACATAAGCCCGACATTTTTGCCTTCAAACCTTTCTCTTCACCAAGAATCTTGCTTTCGCCACCTACACAAGCCCTAAGCTTTCTCCGATCGGCCCTCCATTGTCAAGAGATCAACCGTCAGATCATGACTAGCGAGGCCGGATATATAAGCCTCCACGTCCTTGACTTGAATCTCTTAGCCACAGGACTGAATCCTCACAGTCAGTGCCACGACGGCACTTAATCTGGTATGAATTTTCTCTATCTGTTCGGAGTTGTCGAACAAGCTGCAACAGTCGGAAGTGTTAAAGCTCAGTCAAGTCAAAGGGATTCATCACAGCGTTCCAAGTCGGAATTTGGCCTTGCAGGTGAAGCGCCTATTCTGCATTCCTTGCGATCGTCGTATCGTCTTCATGTTGCGATCTGCAACCTGCGCAGCTGAATTCTTACCAGGATCAGCCCTGATCACCAGCAGAGAGGATATGTACACGTACACAGAGGAGCAGGTACGATGCCCGAGGAAGCAGTGGGCGGGGCTAGTTGAGACTGCTGACATGATCGCCCTCCCTGACACCAAGGCTCGCAACGAAAGGGATGCTGTCGAATGGTTGGCCGTCCTCAAGGACTGCTCCCTCCGATCCCTCAGGGACTTGCGCGGCGAGCATGCGGATACGCTACCTGCCGAGCGTCTTCCAGCTCCACAGTCACTCCTGCACGCCCAACGGCTCCTACACCGCAAGGGACGCCATCTACAAGCTCCATCCCCTCGACAACGTGATGTCAAATTTTGCGCATCGACTCGGATTGCTAATGCAAAGCTCCTCAACTCAGCGCTGTAGTCACTGAGAAGGCGCTGATTGATGTCCACAGTAAGGAAGAGGTTCCTGAAGCAGAGCCGCTGGAAGTCGCACAGGACGAAGTTGCAAGCCTGCAGAGTATGAAGGAGACCTTTGGCTCCTCGGACAATAGAATGAAATGATTCTACCTCCGAACACCGAAGGAAGCTTCTCATACGAGTATTTCGACATCAATGTCCAGCAGCTGTCCGGTGAAGCATTGTCGACTCACAACTTTCACACAAATCTCGACCCTTCAAGACTCTCGTCAGCTGCTTCTCGTCTTGCTTCAAAAGCTTTATTCAATCCTCACAACAGCCAAGTGGAGCCAGCATTCTAGATGGAAAGCTGAAACTGCAAATCAGAACGGATGAGTTGTACGCAAGAGCAGGGGGTGGAACTTGTTTTTCTGCTCGAGACGGTCAAGCCTTCAACTTTCCTTTCAGAAGCAGCCATTCACCTAGAGCTTCTCCTCGACTTGTTTTGATCTCATGACTTTAGCTTATCAAGAAGCTTCTTGTTGTAAGCCATGGCCCTGCCTCGCAGCGCGTCGGGCCTGGCTTCGAGCCTCATCACCATGACAACATAGGCGACGGTTGTTGGTAGTCAAAGTCCTACATCACGTCGCAAGTCTTTCCGACTACTTGCAAGGTCGTCGTCTCACCATCGGGTTGGATCCGCCTGACCCTGCTCTAGGAGATAGGAGGTACTGCACGAGTTGCTCGCCTTGCTGCTAGGTAAGAAGAAGTTGCTCGCCTTGCTGCTACGGGGCAGCTCTTATACTTGTGGACAGACTTCGGTCCTGTTGATCCGGAATGTGCAGCGGGTGAAGGAGCAGACTAAAGAAGAAGCGCAAAATGAAGATTGCCAGACAATGCTTAGTAATGTTCAACACAAATCGCAGTCGTTTTCATCTTCATGCAAATAAAAACATTCCCACTATCTTCAATCCCAACCACCTCAAATAGCGTGCTATTGCTCTGCTGATTCAAAGAAAAAATCCTTTGACTCCATAGAGCTCGGCTGAAAGCTGATCGTTGCATCCCCCTCTTCCCCCTGCCCCTGATCCTTCTACAACCTCTTCCCATTCCAGCTCTTCCCATCCGCCTCCTGCAATGCTCTCCTCTGACGCAGTCTCGTCTGCCAACCGTGGCCATAGCTGTAGCTCACCCTCCTCCGGGTTCCCCAGCAGCTCCTCCCAGCTGTACCCGCTTGTCTCCTTGTCCCCATCTGGGCTTCCCTCTGGGCTTCCGTCTATCTCCGTCCCGCGCCGTCGCCGCTTGACCCGCCAGTCTACGCACACTTGAAGGCTCCTCGCGCATCGACCGCATGGCCTTGCAGAGTCGCACTTGAGCCGCGACCTCCGGCATCGCTCGCATGCCTGCACGACTTGCTCTCGCTTCCGCTGCAGGACTGGAGGCAGCGCTCCGTGCCCTAGCCCTCCTTCGCTGTAGCAAACCTCCCCCATCCGGTAGCACCGAGCACACGGCCGAGCGTCGCCGCAGCGCACCTTCTTGATCTGGCAGCCCAGGCAAGCCTTGGTCGCCCTACGGCTTGACTGCAGCACATCGCCCTGGGACCTCTGGTCGTTGCCCTCTGACAAGCGTGAGCATGGCAAGGCCCGGGCAGAGCGGACGCAGCGGGAGCAGGGGGTTTGATCGTCACAGCGGGTCTTGCGCAGCCGGCACTGGCTACAGGCGGTGAAGGATCTTTTGGGAGCAGGGGAGGAAGTAGGAGGGTAGGAGAGGGAGAAGGGAGGGAGGGGAGCGGGGAGCATGGGGTAGGAGAGGCTCGTGTGCATGGCTCGTGTATCGCAGCCTTGAGTGCTAACTTTCTAGGACTAATAATATTCTCTTTTTATTGACCTAATAATAAAAGCGTGGTCACGCAGGTGGTCACGGCACATTGAAAGGTGAAGGTGAAGGGGTGGGGTACTGCAGCAGGTGCAAGCAGGGGTAGTGGTGTAATCAGGTGGCACGGAGTCGACACGGGAAGTAGGCTTCTCCGCATTGACAGGTGAACCAGATGACGTCACCTTCAGTTGTGGGTCTGGTGGTGGTTGGCCCGCTGATGTGACTTATTTGCTATAGTGGTTCCCACAGGGTCGAGGGCACACATATCAGCAGCACATGATGAAAAAAAACTCTTGGAGTATTTCACTCAACGAGGTAACGTGACCTCCGTAATACTGTCACGGTTACAGCATATTGAAAGGCAGACCCTCAAGAGCAGGGGTGATGGATCCTGGCCCTGGTGGGGTAGTCTGCTCGAGGGGGGTAATATTGGAGCAAAGTGGATGGATTTGATCTAAAAGTATTATTGGAAATTGCTATTTTTAGCTCGATTTCCCCTGAAAAAAAACACTAACTCTTTTTGAAGTAATATTGACCGACATGATTGATGTGACATATGCACAGGAAGTCGCAAACTTCGTCCTCGTCGCAACCTCTCGCTCCCACAGTGGCTCGAGCCTTCGACTACTGTTTGTTGTTTCCTGCGTCTCTTGTCCCCTGCAGCCCTGCTTGATCGCTTTGAAAGGAACTTGCGCACATTCAAGTCTGCCTCATTTCCATGCCTCTGTCAAAGCCCTGACCATGGAACTTGCTTTGTCTACAATTCGAGAATTGAACATGCTCTATGAATCAGTACGTGGACCGGGACATGACAAGCTGCAGTATTCGCCGACCGTCGTACTCGCCTACAAGCCCGTCGTACATACACATAAGCCCGACATTTTTGCCTTCAAACCTTTCTCTTCACCAAGATTCTTGCTTTCGCCACCTACACAAGCCCTAAGCTTTCTCCGATCGGCCCTCCATTGTCGAGAGATCAACCGTCAGATCATGACCAGCGAGGCCGGATATATAAGCCTCCACGTCCTTGACTTGAATCTCTTAGCCACAGGACTGAATCCTCACAGTCAGTGCCACGACGGCACTTAATCTGGTATGAATTTTCTCTATCTGTTCGGAGTTGTCGAACAAGCTGCAACAGTCGGAAGTGTTAAAGCTCAGTCAAGTCAAAGGGATTCATCACAGCGTTCCAAGTCGGAATTTGGCCTTGCCGGTGAAGCGCCTATTCTGCATTCCTTGCGATCGTCGTATCGTCTTCATGTTTCGATCTGAAACCTGCGCAGCTGAATTCTTACCAGGATCAGCCCTGATCACCAGCAGAGAGGATATGTACACGTACATAGAGGAGCAGGTACGATGCCCGAGGAAGCAGTGGGCGGGGCTAGTTGAGACTGCTGACATGATCGCCCTCCCTGACACCAAGGCTCGCAACGAAAGGGATGCTGTCGAATGGTTGGCCGTCCTCAAGGACTGCTCCCTCCGATCCCTCAGGGACTTGCGCGGCGAGCATGCGGATACGCTACCTGCCGAGCGTCTTCCAGCTCCACAGTCACTCCTGCACGCCCAACGGCTCCTACACCGCAAGGGACGCTATCCACAAGCTCCATCCCCTCGACAACGTGATCTCAAATTTTGCGCATCGACTCGGATTGCTAATGCAAAGCTCCTCAACTCAGCGCTGTAGTCACTGAGAAGGCGCTGATTGTTGGCTAACGCAAGGAAGAGGTTCCTGAAGCAGAGCCGCTGGAAGTCGCACAGGACGAAGTTGCAAGCCTGCAGAGTATGAAGGAGACCTTTGGCTTCTCGGACAATAGAATGAAATGATTCTACCTCCGAACAGCGAAGGAAGCTTCTCATACGAGTATTTCGACATCAATGTCCAGCAGCTGTCCGGTGAAGCATTGTCGACTTACAACGTTCACACGAATCTCGACCCTTCAAGACTCTCGTCAGCTGCTTCTCGTCTTGCTTCAAAAGCTTTATTCAATCCTCACAACAGCCAAGTGGAGCCAGCATTCTAGATGGAAAGCTGAAACTGCAAATCAGAACGGATGAGTTGTACGCAAGAGCAGGGGGTGGAACTTGTTTTTCTGCTCGAGACGGTCAAGCCTTCAACTTTCCTTTCAGAAGCAGCCATTCACCTAAACATAGGCGACGGTTGTTGGTAGTCAAAGTCCTACATCACGTCGCAAGTCTTTCCGACTACTTGCAAGGTCGTCGTCTCACCATCGGGTTGGATCCGCCTGACCCTGCTCTAGCAGGAAGTACTGCACGAGTTGCTCGCCTTGCTGCTACGGGGCAGCTCTTATACTTGTGGACAGACTTCGGTCCTGTTGATCCGGAATGTGCAGCGGGTGAAGGAGCAGACTAAAGAAGAAGCGCAAAATGAAGATTGCCAGACAATGCTTAGTAATGTTCAACACAAATCGCAGTCGTTTTCATCTTCATGCAAATAAAAACATTCCCACTATCTTCAATCCCAACCACCTCAAATAGCGTGCTATTGCTCTGCTGATTCAAAGAAAAAATCCTTTGACTCCATAGAGCTCGGCTGAAAGCTGATCGTTGCATTCCCCTCTCCCCCCTGCCCCTGATCCTTCTACAACCTCTTCCCATTCCAGCTCTTCCCATCCGCCTCCTGCAATGCTCTCCTCTGACGCAGTCTCGTCTGCCAACCGTGGCCATAGCTGTAGCTCACCCTCCTCCGGGTTCCCCAGCAGCTCCTCCCAGCTGTACCCGCTTGTCTCCTTGTCCCCATCTGGGCTTCCCTCTGGGCTTCCGTCTATCTCCGTCCCGCGCCGTCGCCGCTTGACCCGCCAGTCTACGCACACTTGAAGGCTCCTCGCGCATCGACCGCATGGCCTTGCAGAGTCGCACTTGAGCCGCGACCTCCGGCATCGCTCGCATGCCTGCACGACTTGCTCTCGCTTCCGCTGCAGGACTGGAGGCAGCGCTCCGTGCCCTAGCCCTCCTTCGCTGTAGCAAACCTCCCCCATCCGGTAGCACCGAGCACACGGCCGAGCGTCGCCGCAGCGCACCTTCTTGATCTGGCAGCCCAGGCAAGCCTTGGTCGCCCTACGGCTTGACTGCAGCACATCGCCCTGGGACCTCTGGTCGTTGCCCTCTGACAAGCGTGAGCATGTCGAGGCCCGGGCAGAGCGGACGCAGCGGGAGCAGGGGGTTTGATCGTCACAGCGGGTCTTGCGCAGCCGGCACTGGCTACAGGCGGTGAAGGATCTTTTGGGAGCAGGGGAGGAAGTAGGAGGGTAGGAGAGGGAGAAGGGAGGGAGGGGAGCGGGGAGCATGGGGTAGGAGAGGCTCGTGTGCATGGCTCGTGTATCGCAGCCTTGAGTGCTAACTTTCTAGGACTAATAATTCTCTTTGTATTGACCTAATAATAAAAGCGTGGTCACGCAGGTGGTCACGGCACATTGAAAGGTGAAGGTGATGGGGTGGGGTACTGCAGTAGGTGCAAGTAGGGGTAGTGGTGTAATCAGGTGGCACGGAGTCGACACGGGAAGTAGGCTTCTCCGAATTGACAGGTGAACATTTTTGCCCCTCAATGTAGGGGTTTTAAGGAAGTCCTAAGAGCGCGGTCCTACTAGGCTAAGCGCTGTCCTAGCACCTGTCCTATCTCTACCTCACTATTTGCATATCTGACTCAGAATGAGATCACTGTGATCTTTATCTGGAATCGGAATTATTTCAGGCCGTTTGCCTTCTGGATAGCAAAATATAACACGTCAGGTTGTGCGAATCTCGTCCGGCGAGTGACAGTGATAGAGTTATCGAACATGGTTATCGAACTCACACACCGCTGTCACACAAGTCGTGCGCAGTCTCAGTGACTCTTTTGATCCTACGGTTCTATGCGGGGGTAACACTGCGGGCCTGCGTCTGGAGTGAACGACGTTGTTTGAGATCATCTAGGGTACGCCTGTCATTGATGCCAAGGAGTATCATTTGGATGGTTGCACTTGTCCTCCGGCATATGTTTCAAGTTTGTTGCGAAGATCGAGGTAGGTTCCGACTTGAAGAAGCTGCTCTCTGCTGCGTCGAGGACAGAGGGCAAGGATCGTCCCTGCTGGGGTCACCCGTCCGATCCTTTGTAGAGGACGATCTCAAGAGGATATTGAAGGACATGGCACTCCGAGTTTCTCTTGAAGTATTGTGATGACGGAGTTGTTGCGAGGAACTTGTCCCCTAAGCCAAGTGAGTCTTGCGAAGGGATCGATATGGAGGAGGATCGAAATATCAGGTCATGGAACGGGTCCGCTGCCCTTCGAGGCTCTCTAGAAGGCGCAGCAACCAAGCTCGAAGCAGTCGGCTTCGACACGGCTGGTCAGCGTGGCACTGGCGACGCTCAGCGGCAGGAGGAGAGCGAGGGAGAGTGGCTGGAGTTCACAGACCTGGAGAGGATCACAATGGAGGCAGCATCTCCGTCAAGCAAAGAAGACATGCTGTAGCTCGTAAGCGAGCTCTCAGCAGTCATCCACCGGGAGGCAACCTCTTTGCCCGATCAAGCTGGTCTTGGACAAGGCCATAGGAAACCTGCACGACACCTTCTACTCTCCGGGGAGCCTGGAGTTCATGTCGCTGGGAGAGTGGGCGAAGACGCCAGAGGAGCAGGGAGTGGGACGCAATGTTCTCAAGGAGAATCTGGCTGCTGAGCTTACATAGAGCGTCGATCTCTCAGCTTCCTGTTCATAGCACTGAGTACTGAAATTCGCAGAGATGCATGTGCTGGCCTGCTCGCTGAGGGTGGACAAGAAGGACCGAATGCGGGTGGGAAGAGCTTGGTCTAGAAGCTCCTTCCTTTCAGTCTTCGTAGAGACACTCATGCCTGCTGATGGGATCAGCGCTCATTCAGCTTGTTGATCCTAACAGATGAAACATGGATGGCTGCGATTGTTCACCGCTTGGCTGCTGTTTTTAATGGCTTCATCGTGTTGCTTTTGAAGTTCGATCTGTAACTTGCTGAAGCTTGGCCGCTCGCTGCTATTCTGCTTCCAACACTCCTGCATGATTGAATACACTGCAGGGGGGCATGACAGAGGTGCTGCAAGTTGCTCTCCTCCTAGAACTCTCGATCCTACAAGCCCATCGTCCATAATGGCCCCATAGGGGATTTACTGTAAGTCCAGATGATGCTCCTGGACGTGTACGTTCACATGAACGCGGAAAAGGAAAGGAATTTCCTTCTCCGACAAAATCTTTTTTAAAGAGACCAGCATGCGGCAGTGAAAGTTGGTAGATCAACTAAACAGAGACTTTATGTCGGGCTGCTGAGGATACACTTGCCCATTTTTATTTCGCATCGCTCTGCTCGCATTTCTCGCTTCGCTCAAATTTCACAGTCTCAAGTATTTTCTTATAAGGGTTTCTAACAGTACCACACAAATTCTCTTATCATTCTCGTGTGAAATATTTTTCCGCATCACAACAGTGAGGGAATTATTTGAGAGATTGTGAAAAACCGCATGAGATAAATAATATAATGTTTCAGGGTGTATTTCTGTCAATCTCTCAAGACATTCCTTACAATTCTGATGTGAAAATTTTTCTTGCACCATAACAGTGAGGGAATTGTTCGCATGGCGACGTCAGAGTGTTAGATTTGTTAAAGAGACAGAGGCTCTATCTTGGCCTCTCCCTTCCTGGCCCTTCCTACCCTCAACACAAACCCCCAGAAAGCCATCAGTCTCCAGGATAATGATCAGACCCCCAGGTCTCAAGTCGCTGATTACCTCCGAGCTTTCATTATTGAGTTTGTACCACTATCATACTCACAGGGAGTTCGCGCTCTCATCCAGCTCCTGGTCCAGCTGGTTCACTGGCAGTTTCCCCTGCAACCTGCTGGTCAACGAGGCCGACAGCTGAGAAGGGAGCCCCCACCTTCTTCATCTTCTTGAGCAGCGCGTACTCCTTGCGCATCTGCTCGATCTCGTCGTCGCTCAGCTCCTCCTCCCGCACCTGCCCCGCCCCCGTCACGTGCTCGACGGCAGGAGGAGGAGGCGAACCTGAGGGACGGTGAGGACTCGCTCCTTTCTGGCCTTCTTCTTCTGCCTCCTCTCCATCTGTTCTTCGTCAGCAGCCTCCTCGTCCCAGCCTGACAACCTTGTCGAGCTTCTTGCTCCAGCTCTGTGCATTCCTTGCTGCTCGCCTCTTCTTCGCCTGCTTGTCCCTCTCGTCCTCTTCGTTCTTGTTGCTACAATTGAGCATCTCCTCTCCTCTCCCCTCCCCTCACCTTAAGCTGCTCCTGCCGCTCCTTCTCCCGCTTCGCGTCCTTGAACGCGATGCTGTCCAAGTCGATCTCCTCGGGTTCAAACCCGGGCAGCAAGAGCATCCGTCGCTTGGCCGTGGCTCCTGCTAGTGCATCAGCGTCTTCCTGCTCTGTTCACCCTCGACCAGCTTGAAGGAGTTCGCGCATGTAGGGGAGCTGGAGCAGCCCGAGACTCATCCCGTGACCTGCAGGAAGCAGGTGAGGAGGAGGCGCTGGGCAAGGCACCTGCGGTACCCGCATAGTCGAACTGATCCAACTTGAAGATGAAGTCACACAGATGCTCCCTGTACGCTCGGACTAGTGTAGGAAGACGGCCAGAGATGGAAAGCAAGGAAAGAGGGAGGGACAGTCAGGAGGGAATGGAGAGATGGAATTCAAGGGAAGAACGAGGGAAGGATATTCAAAAATGGGAGGAGGAGGAGGAGGAGGAGGAGGAGGAGGAGGAGGAGGAGGAGGATGTTACCGATAGAAACGAAAGTGCGCTGCCCTCTCCTCATGAGATCTCTATCCTGAAAGAACCTGGGTCAGGACACATCTTTTTTCTCCTTGGCTTACCTCCCGGACAAGACTTCTGATCTCCTGTAAGACGTCTCGAGCATCGGCAGAACATGGAATCTCCTGGAAAAGTTTGAGATGGGAGGCAGAAGAGAATGAAGGTACAAGAGTCAGGGATGAAGACAAGGATGTGAGGACCAAACATCAAAGGCAAGAGTGACAAGCAAGACATCTGAGAAGGTTAACAAGGTCGTTGGAAGCAATCACGAAGAGCAAACAGGCAGGCTTTCTATCATCTTGTCAGGTTCAGATCGAAGTCACCTCTAACTTCATGTTCCGCGACTCGACCATCTGGATGTAGTCAATCTCGCTCGGAGCGAGGAAGATAACAGATTTTCCACGTCTAAAGGGGCGTCACTATAGCAGGAGGCAGGAGGCAGGAGCAGGAGCAGGAGCAGGAGGCAGGTCAATGCCAAACACCTCCCCATCCTCCCCGCTCTCCCCACGCGATGAACGAAGAAGTCAGGATCTTGCGGAGGGTCGAACTTGTCTCACGAGTCAGGCCCCGGTCAGCCTCGTCTCGTCTGTACCTGAATGACCCACGAAATGTCATCGAAGTCCAACCCCCTGGCCGCCACGTCCGTGCAGAGGAGAATCTTGACAAGTAATTCAGAGGAGAGAGAGGAGAAGGAACTAGACATGGGTACGCACAGCCTCTTTCGAGTTTCTCAGCTCTTCTACTGCTTTGCTCCGTTTCTTCTGGTCCAGCTGGCCAGCAAAGAATCAGCGAGCTGGATTGACAGACTTGCCATTCACCTTGCCGTGCAAACCCACAAAGTGGAGCCCTTGACAAGTCTACCAAGACACTTTCACCCTCCTCTCTCGCTTAGCAACCTCGACACCTTGAGCTTCGGTAGGATCCGAGCGAAGTAATCAACAGCCCAGCACGTCAGAAAGAAAATGATGATCTTCCCCGCCTGCTCCCCCCGCACGTTGAGCGATCGAGCAGGTCTCGTGGAGATCTCTCACCTTCTTTTCCTTGAGAGTGATTAGGAGATGAATCAACTGATTCAACCTCTGACGGGGAGCAACTTCCTGTCAAGTGGAGGTAAGCAGAGCGTGCCGACAAAAAGGAGAACGGAAGGAGGAAGGAGAGGAGGAGAGGAGGAGGATTGAACATGAAAGAGAATAGGAAAGCAACGAATCAAAGGTAAACAAGAATAAAAAGAGAAGTTTCTACGATATGAAAGGGTAAAGATTCACGAGGACAGAGAGAGTTAGATTCTTCGGGCGAGGTCTATTGAGGGCGGAGGAAATAGGAGAAAAGCTAGGGAGGCGACAGGAGAAAGGAACAAGACTGTTAGACAATATCACCATGTAGTAGTGCGAGAGTTCGACTGGAGTCGTTAGAGCTTGTCCTTCCTTTCCCTTCACAGTGACTGCGACTCGGCAAGGATTCCGCATCCCTGACAGCTATGAGTACTGACGGTTAAGGAGAGGTTTCAAATCTGACCGACTCGCACGAGCTCCGTCAACGATGACGTCATCGTAGCAGAAAACAAGCCCGTCCTGTCAGAGGCGGTGAAACTGGTGGACATAGCAGGGTCAGCCGAATCTCCAGTCTTACCTTCGCTGTTTGGGGATAAGGGAGAAAATCCTCGTGAGCTGCTGTTCGAAGCCCATGTGGAGCAGTCTGGAGTCGGAGGAGACGTGAGGGAGACTAGAGCAGGCCTGTACTCCTACCTATCAGCCTCGTCGAGGACGAGAAGCTGGAGGGATCTCAGCGCGTCGATCCCACTCGTCCCCTTTCCCGTCAGGTTCTTCTTGCTGATCGTCTCGATGAATCTCCCAGGGGTCGCGATCAAGACGTTGCCTCCCAGCTCCTGCCCAGCTGTTGAGAGCGGTCAAAGACACTGAGAAGAGACCTTGAAGCGCCGCATGTTGTTCGTCTCATTCGAACCCCCGACGAACGAGTGGCTGGGAAAGGAGCAGTGGGAGGAGAAGACGGCAGACAGTGCTGACGTCAAGGATCACGTCAGGTGAGCGCAGAGAGCAAACAAGAAATTACATTCAATCTGCAAGGCAAGCTCTCGGGTCGGCGCGATAATCAGAGAACCTATATCAGTCTGCATGCAACACATCAGATTCAGAGCAGCATATGAGTGGGATGAGGTACCTTGTCTAGGGTATCACTGCTGCGAGCGAGAAGCTCGAAAGCTGAGGAATCGTCTCATCGGAGAATATCTCAGTGCTGACGTACCTGGCACGAGGAAGGCAACTGTCTTGCCCGAGCCCGTCGGTGCCTCCACCACCACATCCTTGCTGGACAGGAGTAGGGGGATGACCATCTTTTGCACAGGGGCCATGTACTTGAACTTGAGGGACTCGAGCGCATGGAGGGTGAAGTTTGAGAGAGAAGGAAGGACGGAGGTGAAGGGATCTTGCGAGAGGTGAGGGACTAGCTCCGAGGGAGCTGCGGGGACAGTCAGGCCCGGGAGCCTACGGTCCTCCACTTACCGTTAGCACTTGAGGCTGCTGGGCTCGAAGGATCGGTGAGGTTGGCGAGCTTCTTCGGTGTTTTGGGTGTCTTTGGTGTCTTACGAGTGCCTTCAGCCAGCCTGGGCGATCTGACATGACCGGCTGCAAGGGAATCTCGTCGCGCTAGGCAAGGCGAGCAAACAAGAGACGCGATAAAGCCGAGCAAGAGCAAGCTCCATGCTTGGCGGCACACGATCTTCATGACATCACTGTCTTGATGACGTCAGAACCTTCATGTCTTCGCTGCCTCCTCAGGATCTCTCTTAGCCAAGTCCCACCCGCTCCGCGCTGGGCCGCCATGATGCGTCCAATCAATGTATGAGCAATACATATCAACCTACAAGCAATATATATAATTCGCCCATCGTGAAGGTTTTTCGCTGTTAGGCTTCAAATTTCAATTTTTGAAAGTTTCCCGCGATGGAGCTGTGATGGCTGCAGCAGGTACCAGCATCATGCAGCGCTGCGAGTTATGGCGGCAGGTACAAGCAACATGCTGCAGCCTGGGCAAGTGGAGAAGTATGTGAAGTATGTGAAGTATGTACGACTGATGGCTAGCCAGACCTTCGTTGAAGTGTTGGAGAAAGGTGTACGGAAAGCAGGGAAGTTTAATTAATGCGCTGCTGGAACAAGCATATTCTCAACATGTACGTTACTTCTCAACATGTACGTTACTTCTAGCATGTTCACGGTCAAGATACGCCTTGGTTGACGCCAAACATGCTCTTGTACAAGGAAGAGGGGCAGCCGTGGTCTGGTTCCAGTATCCTTGAGTTCTACACGGAAACGAGCGAGCTCATCCATGACAGTTATAATCCTGAATTTATAGCAGAGATGCACAGAGACAGACCACGGCCTGTGGGTCGAGGGTGAAGAGCTTCGCATGTCGACCAAGGCAAGATTTGGAACACTCATCAAGACGAGCTGGTGGCAAGAAACAAGATTAGCAACCGTTTTTGGACAGTTTCTCAGGAGCATGAATGAAACACTGCTACAGGAATACCAACCCTCACCCCAGGCACCTGCTGACGTGGAGAATCGTGACTGAGCACCGGAATCTTCTTACGGTGCAGCACCTACGATCCTTGAAAGGGAGTTCAAGAGGGCCAGGCACTAGTCAAGATTCTACTGCGTCCTTCTGTGACATGAACAACCAAAACATTCTGCGCATCATATTCACATCTTGTCTACTGATGAAGGAATCGTCACGTGTCTCAAATGAGTCCGCTGTCTTGTGCTGCTCTATAGATGTATCTGATCTTCTCACTCTCATTGGAATTGAGAGCTGATAGAGAAAGTAGTGTACTTGTTGTCTCGAGTTGAAACGGGCCCGGGCCGGGCGTTTCTTCCGGGTCCCCCGGGCTGGTAAATCCCTAAGTTCAACATTTCCACTAGCCAGAAGTCAAAAATCTTGTATGCACAAAATATGTCATTCAGAAGACTTGCTCCTAGCGCCTCCTCCTTCCCATCATCTTCTTGAAAATCCGCGAGAGGCGCGAGTGTGTGACGATCAAGCTCGACAGAGGAAGCAGACGGCGGATCCTCACTGCATCTGGAATGGTCGCCAGCACAAGAACTCGTTGTCGGTGCCCTCGGAAAGTTTTCTGGAGCATCGTGGCGGGCTGGTCAAACTCCTTGGAATATTCCACAAGGCCAGGCGCCCGAGCAGCTGGATGAGCCTCGGCAAGGCTGAGATGAGGAGGAGGAGAGGGCTGGCCCGTCTCCTCGAGTACCTCGTGCAGGGTCGACCAACTCTCCTGGGGACTTCTTGCCGTCCACACGCCATGCAGCTCGTTCTCGTACCCTGCGCCTCCTCCCTCCGATCTCCTCCAGCCCGCCAGCAGCTCCTCGGGCTTCTTCACTCTCATGGCCCTCAGAGGGACGCTGGTCCTCACCCCAGCTGACCTGCAGAACCTGAGCAGTGAGAGCCTCGCGTCCCTGGCGAACTCCAGCAGCGGCATCCAGACCTCCTTCCCGTCCGGACGAGACTGAAGGACCCGAATCTTCCTCTCGGGATGATGCCGGTGAGGCACCAAGGGGCTCTCAGATCCCTTGGACGCGCATCGCCAGCACAGTCCCTCCCACTCAAAGCAGGGGCACATGCGCGCAAGGCCTTCGCTGCCTGCCGACTGAGCGACGGCTGACCAGCTCCTGTCGTCGGCATGCGCTAGACGCAAGAAGGCCTGGAGGGACAGTCTGACTTTGACACCTTTCTTGCGGACCTGCACGGCAGCTGGCTCTCCGTGGAGGTACAAGAGAGCTCCCCGCGTGACGAGCAGCTGCCACGACTTGTGCCGGAAGACGTAAGTTCGCACTTGACAGGGAGGGCCTTGGGTGACGTCAGCCCCGACGGTCTCCTCGAGGATCTCGTTGTCTCGCCAGACCTGCGCAAACATCCAAGTCAGGCAAGGGGCGAGAGCTTTCTCAGCAGACCATCAGGTTGGTATCAGCTTCGAGGATGCAGATTCGTCCTGCGTTCAAACGCGTCTCAGGCAGTCGATCTACCGGACTTGACCGGCTCACCCGTAGCCTCGCCGTCCTTGCTCGAGTTGTGAATGGTTGTCGTCATCCCATCCAGCCACATGAAACCCTTGACAGCCTCCTGGACCTGAACCTCGAGCCTGAGCCCTGGCACAGCTAGCAGCTGCGCGTCTTTCAGGTGCAGCATGCTGGGCATCTGACGGAGGAGCGACAAGCGGTGTTTGGCTTGCAACAAAAGAATCCTTGCGGCGTTGAGAAGCTTTGCAGAATCTCTTGACATCAGCTCAACCGTCAGCTCGTGGTGGATCAAGTCACTGCGCTCTATTGTTGCCTGCAGAAGTAACTTCACTTGTCAATTACGACAATGTTGGGAAAAGTACCAAATCTCGTAGTTTCATGTCATCCGCTATGTCCAACCCTTCCAGAGTGTCAAGGTACATGCTCTTGTCAACAAACTCGCAATTGTTTGCGAAGACAAGTCTGATGGTGACTCTGCTCGTCTCGCCCTCGACCGCCTCCTCTACATCCTCCTTTGACTCCACGGATGAGATGGATGAGATGGTGGAGGAGGCTGAGAACGGCCGGGAATCATCCTCCTCATCAAATTTTGACGGATTCTCCGTCGACAGCTCTAAGGTGACATCATCGACTTGTCTTTCGTCGCTCTCAACGTCGGGTGGTGAGTTGAGGTCGGAGGAGGTCGGGAGGAGGCTCAGGTGAAGGATAGATTCGCTGAAAGAAAGTTTGTGCTCGTACTCCCTTTCCTCCTCCTGTCTTGGACGCAACTCGAAGTGCAACGCCAAAGATGAGGGAGAGGTCGATGAGGGGAAGGGATCCACGACGTAGAGCTCACTGAAACTGAGATGAGTCTGCCGCCTGTTATGTCCGACGGCCTGGAGGGTCTGAGAGGCGAAGAAGTCCTGAAAGAGGAGCTCCTCCTCGTGTTTCAGCTCTACCAGCCTTGATTTCTCACTCATCCTCCCTCTCCTCCTCCTCCTGCTCAGCTTGTCCTCTTGCCCTCTCCTACTCCTCCCCTCGCAGTCAATTTCATGCTGGTCCTTTGATTTGACATTTCAAATAAAAAAAAGAAACAATACAGAGAGAGAGAGAGAAGAGAGGGCCAAGTGCCAGTGTGTTTATATGGTCCTTTCGGAGTCTCAGGCTCAGGCTCGTCGTCCCGACTCAGCATGACGAGTATGACTTTGAACAAATCACAGGCACTCATAGGCACGAAACATGACAGAAAAAGCTGCTAAACATCTTGATAACGTGAGAATACGAAGAATATACGATGGAAAATGACTAGAAAAAGCATCCATAGTCTGCCTTTACGAGAAAAACAACATACAGAATGGGCTCGACCTCTCCTCTCTCGTCGTCGCCTCTGCTCTCCCCTTCCCTCCTGCCCTCCGGCCTCTCCTCTGGTCCTCCTCCCTCCTCCCGTCCCGCCCTGACCTCGTAGATCTTGATCTCTCCCCCTGTCTCTCCTCCCTCCTCCCCCCCGACCCCGACCGCTATCCTCCCTCCCCTTCCTCCGCTGCACCCGCTCACCGCCTTCCCGTCTCCCGCTACCGCCGCCCCTCCCTTCCTCCTCAGCCCGCCTCCTACCTCCCACACCTGCCCGTACCCGTCGTCTCCTACGCTGACCAGCACCGTCTCTGACGCGCTCCCCTCTCCCCCCTGTACCACGCAAAGCCGCCCGCTTGACAGCCCTCCCTCGTTGTGCATCCCCGCTTCCTCCAGCGTTACCTCCACCGCCCCTTCCGTCTTGTCGATCTCCCAGATGCTCACCCTCCCGTCCTCTCCTACCGTCGCGATCCTCTGCGACCCTTCCTCCACCCCTGGTAGCGCTACCACGTCCAGTAGCCCTGCCCCTGCCCGTGTGCTCCTCGTCGCCTCGTAGAAGAAGCTCCCCCCTCCCGTCTGCGTGCTCCACACCCGTACACACCCGTCGTACGACACGCTCACCAGCAGCTCTCCCCCCATCACCGTCGCCATCCCTGATATCCACGACCTGTGTCCTCCTTCCCCGCCCCCGATCCGCCCCACCCTCCCCTTCTTCCCTGCCTCGTATACCACGATCATGTTCCCTCTCCTTGCCGTCCCTGCCACTGCCCCGTACACCCGCTTCCCGTACCCGCACGCCCTCGTCACTGCCCCGATGTCGCTCGCCTCCGATCCTCCTTCCCGCTTCTCCTCAAGCCCCTGCTCTCCCTTCGCGTCCCAGTCCTCCTTGCACCGTAGCTTCCCCCCTCCAGCCTCCACACCTTCACCCGCCCGTCTACCCCTCCCGTGATCAGCTCCTCTCCCCAGCTCTCTATGCAGCTGACTTCCCCTGCATGTCCCTGCTCTTCTGCCATGACCTCCATCCTCCCGTCTGCCCCTTCCCTCCACACGTGCAGCCTCCCGCTCTTGCTCGCTCCGACCAGCCCCCCCATCCACCAGCTTACGCACTCCCATCCCCTCCCGTCCCCTCCGATGATCCCTGTCTCCACCAGCGCCTCTCCCTCTGTTGCGGACCAATGCTGTACAATATTGTTATCGTGTTGCGATGGTCTGCTATTTTCTTTCAACTTATCTTGAGATCGATCCTTTAAGGTTTGTGCAGCAGGCTCATTCGCTCCTTCACTGGTTGTCGAGCCTTGGGGCAGAGCTGGTTTCTGAATATTCAGTTGGTTAGAGGTTTTGTCTCTTTCTTTCTTTGAGTTCAAATCATCTCCCGGTTGTAGCCTGGATTCGTCTTGCTCATATTGAATGTTCTGCCCTGCCGTGCTAGGTGCATCTTCATTGCGTTTTTCTGATGCACGTGCAGCAGGATTGTACTTATGTGTGAGAGGTTCTGAACGCGAGCTGTTTTATCAGTCGAAACTGGTCGTGCTGCACTTTCTTGATTGCTTTCAGAAAACGACGAGATAATTGGCGATTCACTAATTCCCATCGTGTTGGACTGAATGAAGGAGAATCATCCAACAAATGGCTCCAGGAAAAGAAATACCTTTGAGGAAGTGTTCTCTTCTACAGCCTTGTTCAACTCAGCTGTCCTTTGTTGAATCGCTGTTTCTTTCTTTTTCAAGATCAACTCTTTGTTCACTTCGGATCTTGGTGCCACCTTCGATTCAGAAATTCGGGGTGCAGCTCCTATGTATGCAATTCAAACAAATGGACACAATTTCATATTGGTGATAACCTTGAGCGATCGCTCTTTGTCGCTGCTCCTTGACGAATTGCTCGCTTCGCTTGTTTTGAACTTGAACTTTTTCTTCTAGAGTTTTCATATCCCTTTCTATCTCTTGGAGGCGAGATCGTATCAGATTGAGCTCACCAGCTGCTGATTCTCCCATGACCATGGTCTGAGCTTTGTCGCCTACACATTCTTTCACAAGAAGAATACAGTTGTGCATATCGTACTTCTACTATTCTTCCAGATTACCAACTCTGACTCCACATGACTCAGTCGCTCTGAAATGTCCGACTGACCGCGTAGGAGATTCTGCGAAGATTTATCTAGACATACGATCAGAAACAAAATCTGTGAAGTTCATCCAAAGAAGACACCATCTTCACTCTTCATCCTCTCTTTCATCAGTTGCTCCAGTTTCCGAACGCGGTCGAGCACGGAGAACTTGTCGTTCTTGCGCTCGTCGAGGATTTTCTCTTCAACACTTGATAAACGAAGATCTGCGGCAACATCAGCGGAAACAGGAGCATCAGAAGTCCTCATACCTAATTGTTTCGCGTTGTTTTGCAGTACGAAAATTGCATTTTCATCTTGCGATAGTTTTTCATGTACTGTATGGTATTCTATTCTGAAGTTGTTGATATGATGCTCGAGGAGCTTGACTTTTTCTGTCAGCAACGCTGAAGAACTGACATGCTGATGCATCAAATCCAGCTGAGAGTTGATACCGTTCACGTGACTCTGCAGAGCTACCATCTGTTCGACAATTTCTGACGACATCGCTGCATCCTTTGCTATTGTCGGACTTGTTGGCTCAGACCTCCTCAGGACGTGTATCCCTCCTCGACCGAACTTTCTCTCAAAGATATCTCTGCTGCTCCTTCTCTTCTCGTTCACTCGTTCTTCCCGGGGTCCCGTGACAAAGGAGCCAGTGACGTCCCTGTCTCCTCCTGCTCCTGCTCCTGCTCCTGCTCCTGCTCCTGCTGCTCCCATTCTAAGCACCCGAACCTCTGTCTCGTCCTCTGCCTTCCTATTCCTCAGTCTCAGCAGGGGGTATCGGGCTCCACCAGCTGCCTCCGCTAGGGTCATACCATCCTCCACCACTCTACCCCACCTGTCCTCCAGCACTTTCTCCCGCAAACTTCCAAACACGTCAGGCAGCCTCTTGCACAGTCTTTCCTTCAGGTGTCCTATAGTCTCCTCCTCCTGTCCCTCCTCTTGCGCCATCCGCCATCCCTCGTCGACTACACAAACCAGCATCGCGAAAGGATCAATGACCACATCCCCGCTACGACCCACTTACGGCTGCCAGCTCCGGCGCCAGCCCAGCTCCGGCGCAGCCGGGCCAGCTCGAGTCCCTGGCCGGGCCAGCTCCACCCAGACTCTCCACCTGATGGATCGTATGCCAGCCGTGCCAGTCAGATAGCGCCGAGTTAACAAAAACTCTCCTGTAAACCAAGACGACTCCTGAGGAGACCTTCCTAGCCGCAATTCTGGTTTCGTGTGCATTAAACTCGGCGGTCGGAAGTTGAGCAAAAACTGTCTTAGGGTTTGTTGCCACTGAGGTCGATATGATTTCTGCGTGACTCACTTTGGCACAGTACAAGTCTAACACATTGAAACTTGTGCTCCGTCACCACCAGCTCTGTGCCAGCTACAGGCCACTGGCTGGCCGCGCCGCAGTGGCCGCCCGGCGCCGGGCCAGCTAGCTCCACTGGGCCAGTGCCAGCTCTGCCAGACCCCTGCACGCCAACTGTGACTCGCTGGCCACTGTGCCGGGATTCGGATCAGCGGCTTCAGAGGAGCTCTCTAGACTGACTCGGCAGCATTATTCTGAGTCACTCCAAGTAAACATATCTCTGGCCCACTGTTGATACAATCCATCATAGTTATGAGCCTCGAGGCTCATAACCGATGGCTCGTGTAGTAGCGTTGGGATATCGTCAAGTGAAGGGTATTGACTATTGGCAAGTTGCTGTTTGCATTGGCCGGCTGTAGAATACGGTGTGACACCTGTCAGTGGAATACTTCTTGGGGGTCACGGAGGCTCTCTCAAGAAAAATTCATCAACGAAATATTGACAGATTTCGAGATAGATGAGAAAATGAAAGCCTGGACTCCTGGAACTACTACCAAACAAAAACTTAGTGATGATGAAGCATGATTACCTTCACAAAGGGGACCAACAACTGATAGGCAACTTTCACAAACTGATTACCTCTCGGTATTTACAAGACCAGACTTGGCCTACACAATCTCAAGACTCTCACTCACAACATCTGAGAGCACCCACCGTCACAAATTCAGTGGAAGGAAGCTATGAGAGTTCTCTATTATCTAAATCAGACAAAAAACATGGGAATAATTTTCAAACAAGCCGGAACTTGACACTCTTAGTTCAGCCGAATCTGAGTATTGTGCACCAAAGAATCCAGGAAAAAAGAGTTTGGCTAAACACATTGACATCAAGAGGTTTTTCCTAAGACGACTTGTGAAAGAGAGTACAATTAACGTACTCATGACAAAAACACTTGGACGCAACGGGCACGGTACCGTAGTACGGTACTCCATACCGACTATTCGATGGAATGACCAGAGGCTCTCTTCCTCTCTCTTCTCTCTCTTTCTTTCTTCTCTCCTCAGTCTCTGTTATCTTCCTATCCCTTACTCTACTTTATAAATACTCTTATCTCAGAAGTCAGGCAGGTTTGTAGGCTTGGCGGGTCAATGAGTTCAATAAAACTTAGTACTAGCTAGGCCAAACGAAGGGAAAACCGCTACTCCAACCAGCGGAAACAGACGAGCACGCAAACGATGAAAGCCAGGCCCCCGGTCCCCGGTACCGGGCTGGGCCGGGCCGGCGCGGCCGGGCCGGGCGGCGTCACCCGGCGGCCGGGCGTGCCTTTCCCCGGGCCCGGGCCCTGGGTCTTCAGATACCTGCAGCCCGCCTCAGGTTGAGGCACCCCACCCCACCCCACCCTTGTGATGCACCCCACCCCACCCATCATTCTGACTCTTTCACTGGAGAAAACATGACTATGGGGGTAGTGTCGTGGAGAGGAACGAAGGGGGTCATGTCCCTGCACGAGGGGGTGGTTTCTTTTTTTTCCCTCCCCTCCTCTATTAGGAGCGAAATTCGTGGGGTGCACTGTTGCAATGGGATTCGACCAGGAATTTAGGTGGGTGGGGTCATCACAATGTGGGGTGCTATGCTCCTTCCTGGTACAAATATCAAGGACCTTTTGTAGGTGGGGGTTGTTTCCCAAGGGGTTAGGTTAGAAATGAGGGCATGGTTGATGGGAAACAGAGGGTGAGGGTATATATGTAGGGGGTGGGGGTGTGGGTGGGTAGTGCGTCATCATGTCGTGGGCGGACGAGGCAGGAGATGGCGGGATGGAGGGGCACTTTTCGGCGGAGAGGATCGTGAGCCAGACAGCCGACGGAAGAGAGAAGGTCAAGATCATCACAGAAATCCGTAAGAACGATGATGGAGAGCGCGTCAAGGTCGAGCGCAAAGTCAAGGTGAGCGCTCATGCTGCAGGGTGGTTGGGGTGTGTGGAGTCTGGGTCCTGAGGTTCGCATGGCGGTGGGATGATCGAGAGATCGTAGAGTCAGCATCTTGATGGCGCTCTCCATGCTGAGATCCTCGGCAGTGCCGTTTTCTCATCAGCCTCTGCAGGTCACCAACAAGCTCATCAGAGTGAACAAGGCTGTGCGCGCTCGCCGGGAGTGGACTAAGTTCGGAGAATGTGAAGGCCAAGCGGTGACTCTAGGTCTTGACGGACAGCAGACGCTGACCTCGATGCTATGCACAGCATGGTTTCAAAGAGACTGGTGTGGTCAACATATCCGAGCAGGTCATGTTCGAGCTGGCAGGCATGGACGAGGTAGCGTTGGCTGCTCCTCCTACAGTGCAGGTTGCTGACCGACTCTCTCAGGGCCAGAAGCCACAGGAGCCTGCCAAGGGTGTGGGCGCGCTCTTGAACATGGACACCTTCTCTGCCCTCCGCCACCTCCGCAATCGTGTTGCCAGTGGAGAACTCACCGATGAACAGGTGCTTCCACTGCGCCATTGAGGGTGTGTGCTGACCGTCCTGCTGCAGTATCATGCCGAGAAGGCCAAGCTGCTCGGCAAGAAGGTCTCTGCTGTGGAAACGGAGCCAGCGGAAGAGAAGAAGGATGGGCCCCAGGGCTACGTGCCCCCCCACATGCGCAACCGTGACGGCTTCGGAGGGCCTCAGGAGGAAGAGAAGGCCACGCTGAGGGTCACCAACGTGAGCACAGATGCAACCAGAGAAGACATGCACGAGCTCTTCAAGCAGTTCGGCCCCATCGCTCGCGTTTCTGTCCCGACCGATCGCGCGACCGGCGAGGGCCGCGGATTTGCATTTATTGATTTCTACAATCGAGAAGATGCTCAGGTGAGGGAGGAGCTTGTGAGCTGCTCTCGGTTGTGAGCTGACCTCTCCATCAGCGAGCGATCAACGCCCTCAATGGAACTGGTTTCGATTCGCTCATTCTTAATGTTGACTGGGCTCGTCCCTCTGCTGACGGGGAGCGAGGAGGAGGAGGAGGAGGAGGAGGAGGAGGAGGTGGTGGTGGTGGTGGAGGCAGAGAGGACCGGAGGGACAGGGACAGGGACGGGCCTCCACGTGGAAGGAGGGATGATGACGATGGTTCTGGCCGAAGGTCTGGCTTCAGGAGTATGGCCGACTCGCATGCCGGCAGGTAAGACTAGGCGCCTGCCTGCATTTGTGGTTGGCTCTTTCTTCTCGCTTTACTCACTATGCTCGCAGATTCGGCGAGAAGAGCATGTCACGCGCTGACACAGGCCCATGGCGTTAGGCTGACATGACTTCATGCTGGACAGTTTTGCCTGTCGGCGTCGGAATGCTGAGAGATGGTTTGAGGAATAAATGTCGCCGAAACAAGTGTAGACTGGTTGTGAGAGCAGTAGCTTTGTTGTGAATCACCCGATATGAACTGTTTCCCCTCGAGCCCCTGACACCTCATAATCTCTCACCTCTGATCCAAGGCTCCTGTGAACCATCTCGTGTCAGTTCATGCATTTAGCTCGCTGCCAGCTACACCGAAGCTCTTTTTCTGATCTCTTCTCTTCTCCTCTCCTCTCCTCTCCTCTCCTCTGTTGTGCTCTGCTCTGCTCTGCTCTCTTGTTCTCCTTGTCTTCTTCACCTGTCTCCTACACCATATCTGATCCCCCCCCCCCACTTCCCCTTCCCTTCCCTTCTCTCATAATAACACTTCGGGATCGCCAATCTGTAGTTCTCTCCGAGACCACCACCCGGTGGTAGCATGGGAATTTGGAGGGGTGAAATAGGAGTGCGATGACGACGATGGGCGAGCACCAGGTGCAATGGAGGGGATGGGGACGAGAAGGGAAGAGGAGAGGGAGGAGGGATGGAAGAGGAGAGACCGGGGAGAGAGCGGAGAGGGGGACGGGGATGATGAGGAAAGGAGGAACAAGCAAGAGAGGCAAGGAAGGAGACGAGGAAAACCATTCATTGCTTGGTGTAAACGAGTGATCTCCCTGCCAGGCCGCATGGAAGTGAAGGGTGGATCATCGAGTGGGTTGGAAGCATTAAAGGACTCAGAATATCGATGGGAAAGCATGTGAAAGTTCCTCGTCCTCGTTGAGCTGGCACACTAAGACTTTGATGTGCAGCAATGTCACGCGATCTGCGATTTCTTCGGAAGCTTTGGCTTCTTTGTGCAGTTTGTTCTCGCTGTGCTTTCATTCTCAGCTTTGATAGGTGATACATGATACTGATGATTCTGATGGATAACGATGACGATGATGGAGATGATGGAGATGGAGATGATGACGATGACGATGACAAAGACAAAGACGATGTTACTGATGTTCTTGATGCTGTTCGAGTTGCTGGTGGTTTTAGTGGTGATGATGGCTACTTCTACTGCTGGCCTATCATCATGATCAGAGTGTGGTTGTTGTTTGTTCTCGCTTGACAACTCGGCCAGTGAAAAGGAATCAAGAGAATCCGCGAAGGCCCATGAAGGTCTTTCAGTATGACGTGGCAAAGAACGGCCTGGGCGCTTGCACAGTTCACTTCATGAACATCTTCATAGCGATGCAGGTGATGCAGCTCGAAGGCAGCTGAGCCCTGAGGCCTCTTGCTCTCTAGTTCGCAGGCAAGGAGGACCCTTGTCCCTGGTACTTCATCCAGATCCTTTTCGACACCACCGTCATCGTTTACGCCAACTTTGTTGTCCTGCGCTGGCTGGAGAAGGTGGTACATTCTCACTTTGCGACGGATGTCAGCAGTGGTGAGTTGCCTGTACCTGGTTGTCTCGCCTGATGATGCTCAAGGCGACTACGGCGACCCTCCCCAGGCAGCCGGCGGCTCTGACCCTGTTTCTTGTGACCTCCTTGCAGATCACTCGATGGTTCCATCAGCTCGGCGTGTGGCTGACGGTTGTTGTTGTGTGCAAGATAGGGATCACCTCCGTCGAGTACGTCTTCAAGAACCCACTGGTCCGCAGCTCCGTTCCTCCCTCCTCTCTCTTCCCTCATCCTCATCTCCTCTTCTCCTCCTCTGATCCTCTTGCCAGGCTGAGTTCGGCGCCATCATCCTGGCGCCTCTCTGCTTCAACCCACATCTCGAGCTCTTTATCGTCGTCGTCTTCCTTCCCCTCATTCTCAACGCCTTCCAGGTCCTCTCACCAGCCCCTCCCTCTCGACTCTTCCTGACCCTTGCCAGCAGTTCTGGATCATGGACTCGTACCTCATGTACAGCAACGAGTTGCACGCCAAGATCCCGTCCAACGGCCTCAGTACCTCCTTCATAGGCAGCAACTACGGCAGCAACTCCATGACCCTCCACTGAAGCAGCTGCCTAGCTGGCAGGGAGCAGCTCGGGAGACATGGGAAGGGGGGCGGAAAGTAAAGACGTCTAGAGCAATTATTGATATTTATTGAGTGAAAGTTGTTGGTACTATCGGATCTGCTGGAGCCACAGCTGTAAGATGCGTCGAGAGGGCTGAGGCAGAGCCTGCGGGATGTTGGCGACTCCGCGAGCCCGCGCAGGTTCCCCATCGCTGCTGGACGAGTCGTCGTCACTGACGTCAAACCCTCGTTGACGCCCCTGCTGGGCCCTCGGCAGCGAGTTGAGCCACATGCGAGCGATGCGCGCGGTCACGGCGTTGACTTGAAACATGTTCTCCCTACGGTCGTCCTCCGAGCTCGAGTCCTCGCTCGAGATGTCCTCGACTGGCGCTCGTCGCGGTTGGGTGCCACTTCTTCCGCGCAGGTTGCTCAGCCACAGCCTCGCAATGACCTGCGTCTGCGTGGAAGGAGCAGCTCTCGGCCTGTCGTTGTCGTCTTCCGAACTAGATTCGTCGCTGCTGATGTCTAGCCGGCCCTCGCCCTGCTGCTCTCCTCTTGCTGCTTGCTCCGCGCGGATCTGAGCAAGCCAGCGCCTGGCGATGTCTAAAGCAGCACGTGAGCTCGAAGAGAGAGGTGGATGCTGAGGAGGAGAGGAGGCAGAAGGAGAGGGCAGGGGAGTGAGGAGGAGGCAACACTCACTCTTGGTGGAGTTGGAGATGGGCTTCTGCTGCCCCTCGTCGTCGTCTGTTGAGCTCTGATCGGAGTCAGATGAGATGTCTGGTCTCGAGATTCCTTTCTCGGGTAAGCCCAGCTGCGATCGAGTCCTTGCGACCCAGGCTCGCACGACCGCCTACAAGGCAGACAGACATCAGGGTCAGGCATTGCATGTCAGCTTCCATTACCTTTGCCGCATCGTCGAGTGTAGCTGGTGGGCCGTCGTCAGACTCGCTCGATCCCTCATCGCTGCTGACGTCATACTCCCGATCTCTACCTTGGTCTTGTCCTTGCCCTCCAGCCCCACTGCCTTCGCTCTGTCCATCTCCGTACCCACCACCTTCAGGCAGGCTGCCACGGAGCTGTTCTATCAGCCAGGATCGGTTGGCGTTGAGGAACTTGTGCTTGAAGGATTCGGACGTGATGTCGGCATCTTTCGCAGCTGGCTTGCTCAGGTCAGGGAGGGTGAGCTCCTTGGGTGGCATCTCTTTGATCGGGTACTCGTCCACAGGGGGCTTGACCTTCCAGAGGAATCTCACGCCGAACCTCTTGCAGAAGTACTGCACGATCTGATGACACAAACGTCAGAAACTTCCAAGACACGAACATTCAAGACGTACCCAAATCATACACAGCACAATGAGGACCACGAAGGTCGTCATCTTGTCTCCGAAGGGATTGTGATAGTTCCGAGATATGATCTCCAGGCTGAACATGATCAGCAAGGACCCCATGGCGCCCATGCCTATGGTAAAGTAATATTGCGATGAGAAGCAGTTCAGATCTAGGTTCTGCAGCGACTCATGTATGCTCGCATCCTCGCTCCTCTCGTAACTTCTCCATCGCTGGGAGCGTCGCAAGAATCTGTGACGGCAATACTTCATGTAGTCGAGGATCTTCCAGCCGTGAAACAACTCATTGGATGAGAGGACCAGAGTATCTATGAAGAGGCGGAAGGGAATCACGAAGATGGAGAAGAGGACGTAGAACACAAAGTCTGTGGTACGAAGACCATAATGAGATCCTGCCTGCAGGCCGACTCCATCTGCCCACCATAAGAAGAGAATGATGAAGGGGTAGAACAGCAGGACCACGAGCTCTGCGGAGTAATTGGACAGCATCATAATGATGTTTTCAGCTGGAGAGAAGGTCTCGAACTCAACTTCGTTGAAGAGCTCGTCCTCAAAATCTTCGTCTCCCTCCTCCAGATCGTCCTCACGATCTCGCTTCTCTTGATAGCGTTTCATCACAGAAGCGAGATAGTTGATCAACTCCTTGGCGTTCTGTATTCCAGGATAGATGTAGATTCTCAGACACACTTTGTACAACAACTGGAAGATGAAAACTTGCATGAAGTCAAGGAATGTAGCAGCCCCGAGGGTTGATATGATCTCTATCAGGTGATACGCAACTGCCATGGGCTGAACAAGCAGAAGGTCTCCGAGGATGTTATTCAAGAAGTTCTGGAAGAATATGAAGAACACGGGCATGGCAAGGAGAGACTCGTAGAGGTGAGCCTTGAAGAAGTCAGAGAAGGAGTATTCCAGCACCACCGTATTCACCAATACCGAGATGATGACTGAGAAGATGAACTGAGTTCGGTACCACCTGTTCACCTTTCGCTTCCATAGGCCGTCAGTATTCTTGTCGTCAAGGCTCTTCGGGTCATACAAGAACATAGACTTGGCGTCTTCTTTCCCCGGCACGAAGGCAAATGCTGTGACGACACTGAGGTACACGCCCAGGGTCATGAGCGCCACGCCCAGCCTTCCTTGCTCGACTTGTTGGCTGGCTGTAATACCCAGCAGGGAGGCGACACTTGTTCTGGAGCTCTCCGACCACTTGCTTCCGGTCCCGAAGTTGGTGTACAACTCGTTGATGTTGCCGAACACCGGGTAAGCGAGTGAACGAAACAGGCCGTGAATGAAGCCAAAGACTACCAGGACGGGGAACAGCCCAGCAAACAATCCCCAGATTGGCAATAGGATGTTCGACAAATACTGCGTGAGGTGCAGTCGTGGCGGATTGCTCAACCTTGTAAAAATCCTTTGGAATGCCCAGAACACCATAAAAAATATCAAACAAGCAATTCCAACGAGCAGGAACAAGACTATGTAAACTTCTGGATCAAACGAAAATCCGTTCAACAAGCTCAGGTAGTCCAAGCCCCTGTAGTCAACATTCAGACTGTAGTCGCGCACCACGGTATTATTCTGGACTTTTGCAGTGTAATCATCAAAAGAGATGGTGGCAGAGATTATTCGCTTCTCGCTCTTGGATCTTTGATAATAGTTGATTTGAAGGTTCACAGACCTCGGCACTCCACTAAGCTTCTCTTTATCGCTCACAATGAACGACCCGGGCTCGACTGTAACCGGTACCATCTTTGAAGAGCTCTCCATGTTCACAAAGAAGTTCAGCCCCTCTTGCATCTTGTCGCCCGCATAAGCGGCAGAGTATCTCGAGTAAGGATAGGGATCCCTGCTGATGAAGAACAGCTGCTCTCCTACTTTCTGCTCGAACCATCTCTCGACTGTCGACACTTTGTCTATCTCTTCCTCATACGCGCACTGAATGCTCCATTGACAACTGTCCATAGAAGACTCAATATCAATGGGGCTCGGAGCCCCGAAGGGATCCCACTGGTTCACCCATTTTGTCTGGTTGTATGGGATCAGATTGCATTGGTCGTAAGACTCCAACAACAAGAAGAGAGGGATGTGAGAGTCGAACCCTCTGCAGCTGCTGAAGTAAGGGAGAAACGGCAGCAAATAATGTGTCAAATCAACGTTGTTCGTTGACGGCCAGATAATGTTTGCTCCTAGATATGCACCGGCGACAGTTCCTGTATCGGAGAACTGCTGAGGGATGAGGGGTATACTTTTGTTGTCTCCAGCAAAATCAACCAGAGGCTGCATCTCATTCACGAAGCGAACTGACACCACCTCATTTCCTCTAGCATCTTTGCTATTGGTAACCTGGACGGTGGGTGGAACCACGTTGAGAGGTGGAGCAATCGTGTTGCTCCGTGCAAGCAGGATGTAGAATTGTTCTGGCACATTCGAATTCAATGAAGCTCGGCTGGGGACAAGGGCCTCGAACTTTGCTGTATCTCGGAAAGAAGTGTAATTCTTGTTTTCGATGTAGAGTCCATGAAGAATTTCGATATCAAACCTTATATAAGTATCCCGGAGACACAAAACATGAAACGACATTATCCCATGTTTGTCGACTGCGCTGTTGCCAAACCAAGTTCCAGTATATCCAGGTCGAACTTCTTGTAGTTTCATTCCAGTCGTTTGATTAAAGATGTGCATAACAAGTTGATAATGCTCGCCGTATTGCATATCGATAGGCAAATATCTCCAATCGAATGACGCTTTGACTACCGTCATTGCCTGTCCTTTGTAGAAATTGGTATTGACTGCATACTCATTCTGCAACAAGTCAGCAAAGACATAGTTTGCGTCTTGCAGCCCCTGTTGCACGCATAGCAAGTAATCAGTCAGGCCCTTCACTGTCTTGGAGCACTTGTAGCTGAGAAGGCATTCATCAAAGAGGTCGTCATAATATGGAGACACATAGCAAATTCTTGATACTCCATTGGGATCTTTGAAGCAATCATATACTGTTGTAGCAAGCGGAGCTGACGTGGTACCAACTGGACATTGAGTAGATTGTGGTTGGGAAGAAATGCTGCCTTTGGGGCAATAATAGCCTACATCACATCTATATCTTTTCCTTTGAGTGTATCCTGTTCCTGCTGGACAACCAAATCCTTCTTCACAGAGAAGATTGAATTGAGTGGAAGGGGTAGTACCAAAGTCGCAATAATAGCCGGCAGGGCAGAGTTGTTCAAACTGATTGCTGGAATTGGTTCCTGCTCCGCAAACGTAGCCCTCAGGGCATGGTGAGGCGAGCCGCAGGGAGGACATTCCATCCACCGGGCAAACTACTCCTGCTGGGCACGGCTCACACAGATCTCCGCTAGGGACGGTGGATTGCCGGGACCATTTTCCTTGTGCGCATGAAAAACATGCAATCTGTGAATCACTGGTCCTGTAGAGCCCCGAGGGACAGGGAGCTGGTATCTCCACCCCATCAGTTTCACATGAGTAACCGGCAGGGCAGAGTAAACAATTGACGGATCCAACATTCGCGCTGTATGTTCCTGGAAGGCAAGAGACATCGTTGACCTGCAAAACCGTCAGCACCATCCGTTCGTTGAGGTATCAATGTAAGCATTCATATGAGGACTCAACAATTCAAAGGGTCAAAACATGAAATCGTATGAAGACTCAAAAAGCAAGTGTATGAGGTCAAAGCAAGCACTCACCATTCCAGCACGCATAGAATAATGACCTGAGTAAGGAAGTCATCAACAAGTGAATCAAAGTTTCAGTTGATTACCGCGTCTTGCCGGAGTAGGTGACGAAGATGCAGCTGGACAGAAGGTTCCTGGTGGACAGGCAGCCGTCCCTCTTGGCGAAGACGTGGCATCCTCGCAGTATGTTCCCTCGGCACAGGGCTGAGGAGTGTTCAAGTTGCCAATCACAGTCTTGTTGGTTGATACGCCACTGAGGCAGTAAGTTCCAGGAGAACATTTGATCGGTCTTGTCGGTATATCTGAACTGGCGTTGGATGTCGTCGTTCCCTCGTTACAATAATATCCAGGCGGACACTGCTTCGACCAAATGGCCATTCCTTCAACATCACATACGTAGCCTGCTGGACAGACAAGTGGAGAAGTCATGGAGGCGTCCGGGCAAAGAGATCCTATCGGGCATGGCGTGCAAGTGCTTTGGCCGAACAGGTTGTTCCAAGTCCCAGGAAGGCAGTCCTTTGGTGAGACGTTTCCAACCCCCTGGCAGAAAGTCCCTGGAGGACAATTCTGAATCAGCCCCGGTGAATATTGAGGGCAATGAAAGCCGCTGGGACAAGGGCCCTGGCCATGCGGACCCTCTGATCCAGCATTGCAGTAGTAACCCGGGTAGCATGGCTGCGGAGTTGAGAAGTTCATCAATTCTGATATTGGTGTTTTTACACCAAAGGTGCAGTAGAATCCAGCTGGGCAAGGCCGAGGTCGATAAACGGTTGCAGCACTTGTCAGATTTGCCGTCAGAGTTCCTTCCAAACAAAAATATCCCGGCGGACATGGTTTCACTGGAATGCGCAAGCCAGGTGTATCACAGATGTAGCCCGAGATGCATTTTACGCCCTCTTCAATGAGACCGGATTCTGGGCAAAATCTTCCAAGCGTGCAGGGATTACACTGAACCTTCCCAGCATCCGGTTGATAGGTGCCAACTGGACAGAGCGTATAGTTGCGGCTTCCTTCTTCCGGACAGTATGCTCCTTGAGGACATGGCAATATTTCATTTTCAGGGCAGTATGAACCTTTTGGGCACACGGTGTATGTGAACAGCATCCTGCTGTTTGTAATCTGTGCTTCCGAAAGCAAAACCTCAAAAGGGACTGAGCCTGGAGATTGGAAGGGACTGTAACAAATGAGTAACTGCTCGGTCACAAAAGTAGCCTTGGTCCTGACAGCTCCAAACTGACATTCCAAAGTTGAGGTGTTTCGAAAGCCTTGTCCCTGAGCAAAAATCAGATCTCCCCCGAATGTAAGGCCGCTGTTGGGATAGATGGCAAATAGAAACGTTTCTTCCAGAAATTCGAAGAAAACATTTTCACCTTCCAGATCTTGATCATTCCGAGTAAGAAAGAATCTCGTTATTCCTAGCGGGTGTAATGGGACTGCGCAGCGCAGCAGACTTGAAGTCAAGCTGACCGCATTCACGGTGTAGCTCATATCTCCGAAAACACATTTGAGAGGAAACGGTTTCTCGTTGCCTTGATTTGGGTCTATCGACACGTATGTTGTGGTCTGAATTGAGTTCGCAGCCGTCGAAGGACTGAGTCCTACTATACTGACTGATTTGAAGTACGTGAATTGAATTTCACTGCTGCTGTGGTCAATCCCATTGTTGGAAACAGAGAGGGAAAAAGTTCCCATGGTGATTGAATATGGTGTGAAACAACTTATCCTATTCCTGTCTATGAAATAAGCCTTTGTGCTCTCCATTCCAATCTGGCACGAAAGGGTTGGCACATCTCTAAATTCGGTGCCCTCAACGGTGATACTTGTGCCGCCTTGTTGTAGGCCATGGCTGGGAATGGCTGCGAAAATTTGTAGATCATTCACGAACTCGAACAGTGCACGTCCTTCGTAATCAAGTCCATTGTTTGAAATTTGGATTGAAGTGACATGGGTACCTTTTTCAGACCTAACAGGATACGGTGGGGTAATGCAGATCATTTCTGTCGATGTCAGGAAAACTCTAGTGATGGTTTCTACAGTTCCAAACTTGCATGACAGCATGAAACCTTGAACAAAGTTGACGCCCATCACATGGATTCTTGAGTTTCCACTTTGTCTTGCAAAAGTTGGAAAGATTGAAATTATCTCAATAGATTTCTGGAATTCAAAGAGAGCGCCAGCAGAGAAGAAGTCTTGTAGATTCCCAGAAAGTTTTATTTCTACCAACCCCGGCATATCACTCTTTGGCGTTACACAATGACCAGATCGTGCCGAATCAATCTTCATGCCCGTTACAGCATTCCCAAAGATGCACTTTGAATCAGAAGAGACTACGTCTGTGGCAAACACAAGCCTAATCACAGTCCCCCCCTTCAAAGGACCAGACATAGGAAAAATATCTAAGATGATGAAATTCTGGTATAGATATTCTAATGTATTGCTGTAATCCACTCCATTGAATGAAATTTGCATTTGTACAAAGTGTGCTTGTGAGTCGAAGGCGATCGGGGCACGACAAGTCATGAATCGCGAGTCAAGAATCGTTGCTCGTGCTGTGACGTGCCCAAAGCGACAGATCAAGTCGCGACCCAACCCAAGAGAATCTCCGAACACGGTTACTTGATTACCACCTTCAATCCTTCCGCTGGATGGGCTTATGGAGTGGATGATTGGTACAGTTGCGTACTCAAACAGGGAGGCGTTCGTGGCCTCCAGTTCAAGACCTAGAGAATACGACAGCGACAATATTCCTTCCACAGACGCTGGGGATGTGCAAAGGATCGATGTTGAGCTGATTGCGATTGATTGTACTGGTACCCTTCCAAAGTAACAGAACTTTGCATGAATTTCTTCATTAGTGCTGTTGATATATACAGGAGTTCCTCCCCCCAAGGTTCCAATCGTGGGATAAACATGATAGTTCCTGACTATTGGAACAAACTCGACAGTATTCGGAGAGCTGGACCAATCAAAACCATTGTTCGAAATAAAAAGTGTCACAATGCCTGGTTCGATTGGAATGCCAGTAAAGCATAAAATGCTAGTCGTGCTCAGGAACAAAGCATCAATTCTTTGGGATTCTCCAAACTTACAGTACAAAGAGTCTACCTGTCTAAATCCTTGTCCAGCAATTATAACATTGCTTCCAGCATTCATGTATGCAATAGTTGGGCTGATGGAGAGGATGTTTATGGTTGGCAATGCTTGCAGATAGGCTACGTGTTCGGGGAATCCATTGTTACAAGACACTAGAGTTCTTATGGAACCCTCTGTATTTAAGGAAGGAGTAACACAGAATGAAGAGCCCTCACTGAAAACAACTGGAGTAGTCATGTTCCCAAAGACACAGAAGCAGTCTGAGTTGACCATCAATTCCATCTTAGCTTTGATGTAGACCCTTGTGCCTCCGGATGACCCTATCACTGTAGGAGCCACATCAAAGATAGGTTCACTTGAAGCGTATGCGAACGGTATACTCGAATTCCAGGAACTTCCATCCATATACAGAAAGAGTTGAACCACTTTTTCATGGGATGAAGGCGGTGCCAGGCATGTCAACATTGAGTTCGACATCACGGTTGCAGCAGATAGCGTGTCCTCGAATCTACAATTGATATTGTCGAGTGCCTGTAAGTTCCTCACTATCACCTGTACTTTGATTTGGCCAGTCAGTGATGACAAGCTTGGCTTGGCCAATAATATTCGCGGGCTTGGCAATACCTGAAACAACATTCCCTTTGACCAATGAAACAAGTCATTCGTGGCATGAATCGTTACATTCTGAATTCTTAGCCTTGGCAAGTAGCACAATACTGTGGAGCTTGACATGAAAACCGTATTAGGGAGTTGATATTGGGAAATTTTGCATGACAAAGCATCTCCATCTTCAAAGTTTTTTCCAATTATCGTAATTCTGGTTTTGCAATCTGTATAAGTTGCAGTGGGTTGAATTGTTGAGATGATTGGAATCTCCACAGTTTTCAAGGTTTTCTGGTTAGATACAATGCCTGTCATTGTCATAACTGAAAAGGTCTCGTATCCCTTCGTCACCGGGGGTCTGAAACAATACAACAAGTTTTCAGAGAGAACTTTTGCTGTCACGACTGCGTCTCCAAACCGGCACTTCATTCCCTCTTTGCTGAAATATTCCCCATAGATGGATATAGAAATGAAATCATTTGAGGGACCACAAGTCGGTTCAAAGCTGGCGATGATTGGCATGACCCTTACAGTGACTTTGTGAAGGACCGGCCATTCGTAATTGTCCAAATAGATCTCGATCAAATGTTGACCTTCAGACAAGCCCGGAACTGCGCAATATCCTCCAGTCGCGCTGATGTACGTGCACGGCAATACATAGTCACTGGACAATTTACAGTAGCACGTACTTAGATTGACAGTACCATTACCTGAAAATTGCAAATTGAAAGGAGAATGTGCTATAGCCATACTTGGGGAAATTATAAGATCGATATAGGAGGGAAAGACAAATTCCTGTGTAAATTCGACGATCGGAGTGTTGGCTTCATACAAAACTTCTATAGTGCTATTGCCCTCATTGACATTGTACAATTCACACTGGTACATGGAAGAAGTCAAAAGCAGTGCAGGTGTATCAATAAATCTCATACGACAACAAAGATTTTCGAAATTAAAGTCCGCTCCATAGATAGTGATGACAGTTGTTCTGTTTCGACCAATCGTCGATACAGAAGGGCTGAGCTTGAATATCCTTGGTGTCGTTGAATATTCAACTTTCAAAACGTCTGTTGAACAATCTGTTGTAAAGTCTCTTCGACCTTCACTTTGTGGAGGAATTTGACACAATGCTAGAGTATCTTTTATGACATTCATTCTGGTGCTGATTGATCCAAAGAAGCAAGTTTGACAACTTATGTTCAAGCTACTCCCGTAGACTGTTAGCATTTGGCCACCCTGCGTCAAAGTCCTAGTTGGCGAAATCCGTTGAATAATCGAAATATTTGTGTATTCGAACCAACCAGTGCAATGCTTATCAAAACTTTCGACTTTGTATAGTCCAGCAGTTGGAACCGGAGGAAAAATAAATAATGGTTCGATTAGAGTTCTGTTTTGTAACTTTCTTTGCACAGGGAACCTGTATGATGATGTTTTGTCATTCCAAGGGAACACATTGATTCCTCCGACGCCATGACAGAAAGGTGACAGTGAATCCACTTTCACAATAACTCCACCTAAGATGCTCGCAAATGAGGGTACAAGTTTTATATTAACGTCAGGAACTATTGAAATAGCTCTCTCATATTGGCTGCGCAATCCACTTTCAAACTCCAATTCAAAGCTAAAGTTGCCAGGTAAAATAGAAGAGATGTCACATACAAGTTTGTCCTCTCCAAGATACATCCCATGAGACTTCTCCGATCCCAAGTTGCATACAAACGATTTTGACACATCGAAATTTTTTCCAAATACTGTGATACTTGTATGCAAAGCGCGTACAATTGTAGCTGGAAGCACATTCTCAATTAAGGGTGTCGCGGAATCTTGATCTTTGCAATCAAATTGCATTGCAAATAACGTCAAATTATGGACAGTTATTTCGAAGGAGAAAGTACCACTAATGTTTTTTGGGTAGAAATAACAAATTAAGCTTGAATTGCCTCTCTCGTATTGATAAGCGTTCTCTATTCCATTCAAGGTCACAAGTCTACAGTGTTCCAATGCAGAAAACTGCTGTGCATTGACGTGAAATTTCTGATGTGTGGAACAATGTGAAGCAGAATCTACTAACTCAACGACAGGCTTTTGCAGGAATAGAAATTCTTTCTCAAGGAAGCAAGTTGACGAATCACACAACGAAAAAATACTCGTTCCAGCGACATGAATATCAATTGTTGGACAGAGCAAAGTATCATTAGACTTAAACTTTGGCAAAGTTTTGAAGTCACCGTATTGACAGACTAAGTTTTTCAACAAATCGAATTTCTCTCCTACAATGGTGACCATCGCCCCATTTCCAACAAATGCAGCACTGGGATAAAATGATGAAATGGACAACAAAGTCTCGACAACGACGAAATAAGGCACTGGGACAAACAATACAGAGTCACAGCTAATTGAAACTGTGAAATTTCCATTCATCTTGGTTTTGGAATTGCAAATCAAATTCTCTGGAGTTGCCAAGTAACAGGACATGATGTTTGTGCCAAGAACCATAGTGAAGGAACAGAAATGTGACAAGCGATCGACGGTGATCGAAACTTCAACCAAAAAAGGACTTGATTGAACCATGTAATCAACATTGAGAACTACTGGAAGCCTGTAAAATCCAAACGAAAGATCGCCAACAAAATCGACCCCGTTGTTGCTGAGCTGGACCTGCATCGTCTGCTCTCCGGATGCTGCAGGTGCTGAGCAGCCTACAAGCGTAGACGACCGCCACTTCCCCGGTACCTCCCTCCAGCTGCCCAGACCGCCGGAGCTTGGACTACCATCTCCTACACTCGCGCCGAAGCGGCAGGTGAGGCTGGCTACCTCGAGGAAGCCGGACCCTGTGACGGCGACTTGGGTTGACCCTTCCGCTGGCCCTGAGCAAGGTGATAGCCCGGACACTCTCTCCTCTACGTAGTACGTGTACACTACTCCTCCGCGTGACAAAGCCGGCTGTCCCTCTATGACGAGGTGTACCGGTACCGTGTATCGGGACAGCACACGGTTCGTCGTCGAGCGTACCTCGGGCATCTGACACCGGTACTCTGTACCGCTCTGGTAGCGGCATTCTGCACTGCCCTCTAGTCCCACCTGCAGGGATAAAGATACGCCCTGGAGCCCCTCCGCACCAAGCAGACGGACGGTGACCTGTGTTCCGCCTCTGCTGGGACCCATGGTCGGCTCAAGCTGGACCTCCTCGGAGAAGCGGGGCGTATCCTCCCAAGCGAGCAGCCCCAAGCCTCCGCTGCTCCAGTCCTGACCGTTGTTGCTTACCTCGACCGTCAGGTTCCCCCCGACACGGCCCCCTCCTGATACACAATCGACCATAGACGACGTGAGGTATCTGGCGACCCCCGGCAGGCTGCACCTCAGCTGCGGGCTTGCGACAAAGTGCTTCCCGATCACCCGCACCGTGCGTCCGTGGTCCTGCTCGACCTGACCAGAGCTCCCGTCAAGGGCAAGGAGGCTCAGCGATGTGACGGTAGGGGCTCGCTCGTACGTATAGGTCGCGCTCGCGGAGGAGAAGTCGACCCCGTTGTTGCCTACTTTGATGTCAACGTGCTGAGCAGATGCTGCTGCTGGTATGGTGGTCAATAGAGTTGTGCTTGTCAGCCAGATGGCTCTTTGAGTTCTCTCGTCTGACAGCCGTAGCCTGATGTTAATGTCTTGAAAGTAGCTCCCGATGACGGTCACGATAGTGCCTCCTGTAGTCGGCCCGGATGATGGGTACACAGAGATTAGCCTTTCTGTTTCATAGAAGTGGAATTCGCTCATGAAAATGCAAGACTCGCCGTCACATACATCTGCACTCACGATGCCTGCAACTGACACCTGCGGCGTTGTACACGAGATATCATCTCGTCGGTGCCTTGTGACTGGCACTCGGAGTCCTCCGAATCGACAAGAATCGAAGGTTCCCGCAGACTCCATGGTGAGCAAGATATGTACCGTCGTGTTTCCATCCTTCGGGCCACTGCTTGGGCTGCAACTCAACACTCTTGAGGCCATAGATGCCATGTTCCAGACAAAGATGGGTGCAAAACCTTGGTGGCTGTATATCTCCAATGTCAAATTTCCCGTTACCGGCGTTGAGACAGCACATACTTCCCTCGACGGGGAAAGGTAAGATGTAAGCACTGGTTGCGATTCTCCAATCACACAAATCATGCGTAAACTGGGTCGGAAACCTCTGCCAATCAGAGTGACTTCTGTCTTCAATGCCGACAACGTCGTCGGATTGAGTCGATGGATCTCGGGTGGTTCCTCAAACATGAACAAGATGTTTGCGAATGAAACAGTATTGCCACAGGTTGTCAAGGTCAGCGATGAGTAACCCGCCTCTTGAGAAGGCGTCGAGCACAACATCACAGTGTCAGTAACGATCAAGCAGAGTCCAGGATGAGAGCTTCCGAAGCTGCAGCTGGGCTGGAGGTGATCGCATTGATGGAAGCCGCTGCCAACGATGGTGATTTGTCCCCCACCGTTAACTGGCCCCACTGATGGAATCAAGCTCTCCACATGCAAAGGTCCCATGAGCTCGAACGGTACCCGATACTCTGGTTCACTTGAACAATTGTATGGTGACATGGATATTTGCAGGAGCCCGAGACCCGCTTGCTTGGCTTGTGGAAACGGGCACTCGAATCTCCTACCGCTTGTCCGACCGATGCTGGAATATGTCTCATTGCCCCAGCAGCAATACAACTGATGACTGGATCCGAGCTCTGCTTGAAGTCTGAAAGAGACAACTACCGGATGATTGATGTATCCTCGTGTCGGGCTTATAATCTCTACAGATGGTGTAGAGGTCACCTGGAGAGAGATTGTGGATGGGCACTTGGTGAAATGCTTGCAGTCAACACTCAGCGAGATGGAGAGGTTCCCGCGTTGCGGATCTTCAGGCGACGAGCAAATCATCCTTGAGTCGGACAAGACAGTAAGGAAGGAAGGTTGATACGATCCAAACTTACAGCATGAGGTTAAAGATTTCCATTCCTGAAAATGTTTACCAACTATAGTGATGATGCTTTTGTTGAATTTGGACAATGACTTTGGTGCCAACGTATCAACGACAGCAATCATCCATTTCAATCCCTCGTCGTTGTGCACCAAGAAGTTGCCCACACTCACTTTATACAAGTATTCCCTCTCCAAAGTCGTCTCTGTCATGACCGGCAAGGGACATCGGACTGCGGACGATGTCATGTACGTACCGTCCGTACTCGTGCTAGTGAAGGCACAAGCCACCGCTCCCCTAGCGAAAAAGTCTCCAATGACCGTAACTGAAAGGCCCTGGGACGCCCCTGTCACCACGAGAGAAGGATGTATCTCCATGATCCGTCGATGGCCTTGCACCATCACATCGAATTTCTGTGAATAGTAAGCGGCCGGATACATCTCGTCATAGAGCTGCAAGGCTCGGACCCCTTCTGTAACGTTTGGCACGTTGCATTCAAGCTCCCAGTCACCTTTTCGCACACAATCGCAAGTAGCACCCTCCAGCTTCAATGATAATCGAGGATCTCCACGGAGATCTCTGAATTGCACAAGCATGGATCCTCCCGTGAGCAGGATCGAGGGATCGACGCGCTCGATCACTGGGGGCTGAAAGCACATCAGCTCTATGTTGCTATCTATAGAAGGAATGTCGTCCAAAAGCACTTTTACACTTGCGTTTCCAGGTGACGACAAGAATACATTCAAGCACATCAAAACGCTCGTGGATATCTGCATGGCTACAAAGCTCTTCTCCTTCCCGAACTTGCAGGTCATCCGCTCTTGATTGAGGAAAGGTCCACCCACTAGAGTGATGTCCTGTTGGATGCTAGTCATCAAAACGTCCGGCACCATGCTCTCGATCTTTGCTCGACTCATGTATACATATCTATCAAAAGGACTAATGCTCGAGTACTCTTGACGATTCACAGTGACTTGAACATGTACGATCGAGGAATTTGATCGAGGAGTAATACAAGCTACCTCAGAACTAGATACTGTCGTACCTGGAATCATCCCCGAGCTCCCAAACTTGCAAAACGACCTGTCGCTGAGATCAATATTCTCCAGGGTGATTGTAACAAGTTTCCCTCCCTCCTGAGGACCGATGCTAGGGTTGACAGAGATGAGGACGGGAAGCGCTCTATACTGAAAAGTGCTATTCGCCGTCCAGCCACGAATACATACTCCTCCAAGGCAGGGAGTGATGGAGACACTAGATTCGTCGGCAACAGGTGAAACACATGATGCAAGGCCCGGTGCGAGCATCGAACATCCGACTTGCACTTGTCCGAAGAGTACAGATGTCATCGCTACACCACCTCTTGCGCTGCGACCACGCACGAGCACACGAGTGCCTCCAGACAAGGACCCCACAGTGGGCTCGAAGTCTACTTCAAGAAGGTGGGAGTCTACTGAAATAAGACGAAGACCGGTGGGTATGTAGTCATCACCGTTACTGCTCAACGCAATACTGAAGTTGCCTGCCTTGTTGATTTGTCCTCTGCAAATGACCATTGAGTCAGATACAACCTCTGACAAATGTATGCCTTCTTTCCCGACCCAACATGTTCTTCCTCTTATCATTCCCAACCCGTTCCCATAAATTGTGATAGAATACATCAGGCGCGAAAGAATGGTAGAAGGAATAACTCTGCTAAGCTCAGGTGGCTTGTGCAGCTCCATTGCTGCTTGGTTTGCAACGAAATCCTTCGCATTGTTGCTAACCTCCACGATCATGTTCGCATTACCATTGAGCACAGGCGAAAGACAGTGTAAGAGAGTGGAAGATTGAAATGCTGCTTCTGCCCATGAAATGGGAGTATTGAGTCCATGTTTGTCTTGCGTGCTAAACCTGCACCGCAGCATGTTAGATTCGACGAAGCTCGCTCCAACTAATGAGATCACAAACGGGTACAGAGTGCTGCCATGCGAAGGTACTAGCGCATCAATCCTCGGATATTGCACATACTCATATGTAGCTGCACCCCACTCTTCAAGGCTGTCTGATATCAGCGTCAATGCAATCGCTACAGATGCAGACGAAGGAGGAACAAGGCATGAAATCTCGGTACTCGTTACACGTGTTCCCGATACCCATACCCCTCCAAATCTGCATGTCAAGACAGGGGATTCATAGCCGTGTGCCATGACAACACTGACAAAGTTGCCACCTGACGTTGGACCACTGCTGGGTATGACACTAATCCAATACGATCCTCCCCTCACCATTGAAACTCCATCTCTGCTCCAGTCCTGACCGTTGTTGCTTACCTCGACCGTCAGGTTCCCCCCGACACGGCCCCCTCCTGATACACAATCGACCATAGACGACGTGAGGTATCTGGCGACCCCCGGCAGGCTGCACCTCAGCTGCGGGCTTGCGACAAAGTGCTTCCCGATCACCCGCACCGTGCGTCCGTGGTCCTGCTCGACCTGACCAGAGCTCCCGTCAAGGGCAAGGAGGCTCAGCGATGTGACGGTAGGGGCTCGCTCGTACGTGTAGGTCGCGCTCGCGGAGGAGAAGTCGACCCCGTTGTTGCTGAGCTGGACCTGCATCGTCTGCTCTCCGGATGCTGCAGGTGCTGAGCAGCCTACAAGCGTAGACGACCGCCACTTCCCCGGTACCTCCCTCCAGCTGCCCAGACCGCCGGAGCTTGGGCTACCATCTCCTACACTCGCGCCGAAGCGGCAGGTGAGGCTGGCTACCTCGAGGAAGCCGGACCCTGTGACGGCGACTTGGGTTGACCCTTCCGCTGGCCCTGAGCAAGGTGATAGCCCGGACACTCTCTCCTCTACGTAGTACGTGTACACTACTCCTCCGCGTGACAAAGCCGGCTGTCCCTCTATGACGAGGTGTACCGGTACCGTGTATCGGGACAGCACACGGTTCGTCGTCGAGCGTACCTCGGGCATCTGACACCGGTACTCTGTACCGCTCTGGTAGCGGCATTCTGCACTGCCCTCTAGTCCCACCTGCAGGGATAAAGATACGCCCTGGAGCCCCTCCGCACCAAGCAGACGGACGGTGACCTGTGTTCCGCCTCTGCTGGGACCCATGGTCGGCTCAAGCTGGACCTCCTCGGAGAAGCGGGGCGTATCCTCCCAAGCGAGCAGCCCCAAGCCTCCGCTGCTCCAGTCCTGACCGTTGTTGCTTACCTCGACCGTCAGGTTCCCCCCGACACGGCCCCCTCCTGATACACAATCGACCATAGACGACGTGATGTATCTGGCGACCCCCGGCAGGCTGCACCTCAGCTGCGGGCTTGCGACAAAGTGCTTCCCGATCACCCGCACCGTGCGTCCGTGGTCCTGCTCGACCTGACCAGAGCTCCCGTCAAGGGCAAGGAGGCTCAGCGATGTGACGGTAGGGGCTCGCTCGTACGTGTAGGTCGCGCTCGCGGAGGAGAAGTCGACCCCGTTGTTGCCTACTTTGATGTCAACGTGCTGAGCAGATGCTGCTGCTGGTATGGTGGTCAATAGAGTTGTGCTTGTCAGCCAGATGGCTCTTTGAGTGCTCTCGTCTGACAGCCGTAGCCTGATGTTAATGTCTTGAAAGTAGCTCCCGATGACGGTCACGATAGTGCCTCCTGTAGTCGGCCCGGATGATGGGTACACAGAGATTAGCCTTTCCGTTTCATAGAAGTGGAATTCGCTCATGAAAATGCAAGACTCGCCGTCACATACATCTGCACTCACGATGCCTGCAACTGACACCTGCGGCGTTGTACACGAGATATCATCTCGTCGGTGCCTTGTGACTGGCACTCGGAGTCCTCCGAATCGACAAGAATCGAAGGTTCCCGCAGACTCCATGGTGAGCAAGATATGTACCGTCGTGTTTCCATCCTTCGGGCCACTGCTTGGGCTGCAACTCAACACTCTTGAGGCCATAGATGCCATGTTCCAGACAAAGATGGGTGCAAAACCTTGGTGGCTGTATATCTCCAATGTCAAATTTCCCGTTACCGGCGTTGAGACAGCACATACTTCCCTCGACGGGGAAAGGTAAGATGTAAGCACTGGTTGCGATTCTCCAATCACACAAATCATGCGTAAACTGGGTCGGAAACCTCTGCCAATCAGAGTGACTTCTGTCTTCAATGCCGACAACGTCGTCGGATTGAGTCGATGGATCTCGGGTGGTTCCTCAAACATGAACAAGATGTTTGCGAATGAAACAGTATTGCCACAGGTTGTCAAGGTCAGCGATGAGTAACCCGCCTCTTGAGAAGGCGTCGAGCACAACATCACAGTGTCAGTAACGATCAAGCAGAGTCCAGGATGAGAGCTTCCGAAGCTGCAGCTGGGCTGGAGGTGATCGCATTGATGGAAGCCGCTGCCAACGATGGTGATTTGTCCCCCACCGTTAACTGGCCCCACTGATGGAATCAAGCTCTCCACATGCAAAGGTCCCATGAGCTCGAACGGTACCCGATACTCTGGTTCACTTGAACAATTGTATGGTGACATGGATATTTGCAGGAGCCCGAGACCCGCTTGCTTGGCTTGTGGAAACGGGCACTCGAATCTCCTACCGCTTGTCCGACCGATGCTGGAATATGTCTCATTGCCCCAGCAGCAATACAACTGATGACTGGATCCGAGCTCTGCTTGAAGTCTGAAAGAGACAACTACCGGATGATTGATGTATCCTCGTGTCGGGCTTATAATCTCTACAGATGGTGTAGAGGTCACCTGGAGAGAGATTGTGGATGGGCACTTGGTGAAATGCTTGCAGTCAACACTCAGCGAGATGGAGAGGTTCCCGCGTTGCGGATCTTCAGGCGACGAGCAAATCATCCTTGAGTCGGACAAGACAGTAAGGAAGGAAGGTTGATACGATCCAAACTTACAGCATGAGGTTAAAGATTTCCACTCTTGGAATTCACTCCCTTCGAGGGTTACAAGTCGGCTCACACCTGAAAGGATTTTGTTTGGATTGAGATTGGATAAATTGAATCCAAAATAGCTGTGATATTCCAAGGTTGTCGTAGTTTTTGAATCCTTGTCAGTTAATGTCAATTTGATTTTTCCATCAACCAATGGTGGTGGAAGCGAACAAAGCAACATTGTTGTAGACATTATCGTGACCAAATGGGTGTTATTTTTCCCGTTTGAACATAATATTGAAGAATGATTCAAAAATGATCCATACACCGTAATTTGAATGTTTCTTGTACAACGCCCGGATGACGGCATGAAATGGTATATTTCAAACTTTTTGGCGGGATTCCAGAATTCTATGTATGATTTGAAGAGATACTTTTTCCAAAAGCAAGAAACAGGAATTTTTGATTCAGTGGATACTATTGGAGTTTGGCAAACGAACTCAATTGTGGATTGAACATGCATAGGGCAATTGGATAGCTGTTGTCCGAATCGACATGTCAAATTTTCTAATGCAGGAGGAATATAGGGTAATGCAATATGCACCATGAAGCTGTTTGCCATTGGGCCAGTCGAGGGACTAAGGACCATCAGCGGAACATCAATCTGGATTGGAAACAATGTTGAAAATCCCTTCAAATCAATCGTAAAAGTGACGTTTCCGGGAGGAAGCGATCCTGACACATAGGTTGAAAGCTTCGATGAAGTGTGAAACCTCGCGAGATATTTTGAGTGAAGAAAGCTGCACTCAACCCCATGGGCTATATCGTTTGAGAACCCATGACCATAAATCCAAATCAGAGTAGAATGAGTCGCAGATATGACAGAGGGATGTATTGTCGTAAATGAAACGACAGAAAAGGGAATAACCGGAGATTCACTATAATGATACACCAAAGAGTCAACTGAAACAGTTCTCAACCCAGCACCATATCCAGAAAGGTCCTCCTTCCAAGGCAAAGGACATCGGACTGCGGACGATGTCATGTACGTACCGTCCGTACTCGTGCTAGTGAAGGCACAAGCCACCGCTCCCCTAGCGAAAAAGTCTCCAATGACCGTAACTGAAAGGCCCTGGGACGCCCCTGTCACCACGAGAGAAGGATGTATCTCCATGATCCGTCGATGGCCTTGCACCATCACATCGAATTTCTGTGAATAGTAAGCGGCCGGATACATCTCGTCATAGAGCTGCAAGGCTCGGACCCCTTCTGTAACGTTTGGCACGTTGCATTCAAGCTCCCAGTCACCTTTTCGCACACAATCGCAAGTAGCACCCTCCAGCTTCAATGATAATCGAGGATCTCCACGGAGATCTCTGAATTGCACAAGCATGGATCCTCCCGTGAGCAGGATCGAGGGATCGACGCGCTCGATCACTGGGGGCTGAAAGCACATCAGCTCTATGTTGCTATCTATAGAAGGAATGTCGTCCAAAAGCACTTTTACACTTGCGTTTCCAGGTGACGACAAGAATACATTCAAGCACATCAAAACGCTCGTGGATATCTGCATGGCTACAAAGCTCTTCTCCTTCCCGAACTTGCAGGTCATCCGCTCTTGATTGAGGAAAGGTCCACCCACTAGAGTGATGTCCTGTTGGATGCTAGTCATCAAAACGTCCGGCACCATGCTCTCGATCTTTGCTCGACTCATGTATACATATCTATCAAAAGGACTAATGCTCGAGTACTCTTGACGATTCACAGTGACTTGAACATGTACGATCGAGGAATTTGATCGAGGAGTAATACAAGCTACCTCAGAACTAGATACTGTCGTACCTGGAATCATCCCCGAGCTCCCAAACTTGCAAAACGACCTGTCGCTGAGATCAATATTCTCCAGGGTGATTGTAACAAGTTTCCCTCCCTCCTGAGGACCGATGCTAGGATTGACAGAGATGAGGACGGGAAGCGCTCTATACTGAAAAGTGCTATTCGCCGTCCAGCCACGAATACATACTCCTCCAAGGCAGGGAGTGATGGAGACACTAGATTCGTCGGCAACAGGTGAAACACATGATGCAAGGCCCGGTGCGAGCATCGAACATCCGACTTGCACTTGTCCGAAGAGTACAGATGTCATCGCTACACCACCTCTTGCGCTGCGACCACGCACGAGCACACGAGTGCCTCCAGACAAGGACCCCACAGTGGGCTCGAAGTCTACTTCAAGAAGGTGGGAGTCTACTGAAATAAGACGAAGACCGGTGGGTATGTAGTCATCACCGTTACTGCTCAACGCAATACTGAAGTTGCCTGCCTTGTTGATTTGTCCTCTGCAAATGACCATTGAGTCAGATACAACCTCTGACAAATGTATGCCTTCTTTCCCGACCCAACATGTTCTTCCTCTTATCATTCCCAACCCGTTCCCATAAATTGTGATAGAATACATCAGGCGCGAAAGAATGGTAGAAGGAATAACTCTGCTAAGCTCAGGTGGCTTGTGCAGCTCCATTGCTGCTTGGTTTGCAACGAAATCCTTCGCATTGTTGCTAACCTCCACGATCATGTTCGCATTACCATTGAGCACAGGCGAAAGACAGTGTAAGAGAGTGGAAGATTGAAATGCTGCTTCTGCCCATGAAATGGGAGTATTGAGTCCATGTTTGTCTTGCGTGCTAAACCTGCACCGCAGCATGTTAGATTCGACGAAGCTCGCTCCAACTAATGAGATCACAAACGGGTACAGAGTGCTGCCATGCGAAGGTACTAGCGCATCAATCCTCGGATATTGCACATACTCATATGTAGCTGCACCCCACTCTTCAAGGCTGTCTGATATCAGCGTCAATGCAATCGCTACAGATGCAGACGAAGGAGGAACAAGGCATGAAATCTCGGTACTCGTTACACGTGTTCCCGATACCCATACCCCTCCAAATCTGCATGTCAAGACAGGGGATTCATAGCCGTGTGCCATGACAACACTGACAAAGTTGCCACCTGACGTTGGACCACTGCTGGGTATGACACTAATCCAATACGATCCTCCCCTCACCATTGAGACTCCATCTCTGCTCCAGTCCTGACCGTTGTTGCTTACCTCGACCGTCAGGTTCCCCCCGACACGGCCCCCTCCTGATACACAATCGACCATAGACGACGTGATGTATCTGGCGACCCCCGGCAGGCTGCACCTCAGCTGCGGGCTTGCGACAAAGTGCTTCCCGATCACCCGCACCGTGCGTCCGTGGTCCTGCTCGACCTGACCAGAGCTCCCGTCAAGGGCAAGGAGGCTCAGCGATGTGACGGTAGGGGCTCGCTCGTACGTGTAGGTCGCGCTCGCGGAGGAGAAGTCGACCCCGTTGTTGCTGAGCTGGACCTGCATCGTCTGCTCTCCGGATGCTGCAGGTGCTGAGCAGCCTACAAGCGTAGACGACCGCCACTTCCCCGGTACCTCCCTCCAGCTGCCCAGACCGCCGGAGCTTGGGCTACCATCTCCTACACTCGCGCCGAAGCGGCAGGTGAGGCTGGCTACCTCGAGGAAGCCGGACCCTGTGACGGCGACTTGGGTTGACCCTTCCGCTGGCCCTGAGCAAGGTGATAGCCCGGACACTCTCTCCTCTACGTAGTACGTGTACACTACTCCTCCGCGTGACAAAGCCGGCTGTCCCTCTATGACGAGGTGTACCGGTACCGTGTATCGGGACAGCACACGGTTCGTCGTCGAGCGTACCTCGGGCATCTGACACCGGTACTCTGTACCGCTCTGGTAGCGGCATTCTGCACTGCCCTCTAGTCCCACCTGCAGGGATAAAGATACGCCCTGGAGCCCCTCCGCACCAAGCAGACGGACGGTGACCTGTGTTCCGCCTCTGCTGGGACCCATGGACGGCTCAAGCTGGACCTCCTCGGAGAAGCGGGGCATATCCTCCCAAGCGAGCAGCCCCAAGCCTCCGCTGCTCCAGTCCTGACCGTTGTTGCTTACCTCGACCGTCAGGTTCCCCCCGACACGGCCCCCTCCTGATACACAATCGACCATAGACGACGTGATGTATCTGGCGA